TCAAAAATTTTAACTTTGAGTAAATTATACCACCCTCCAAAAAAATAAGAAACAAAAATGAAAGAATAAAAAAAGAAAATGATGCAGGAGACAGAAACCACTTTAGTTGTCAGAAACAAGTCTTTTTTTTTTTATTTTAATTTAAATATAATAGTTATGTGCAGATTAGACAGATTATTGGGAAAGTCATAAGGAGGCATGTGTGTAAAATGTCTCCAAGCATGATGTAATTATAAACTCAGGTAGTGACTGCAGTATCCATTACAGGTAGTGCAGGCGCGACCCTTTATTTGCGTGCTGCAACACAATACATGGTTGCTGCTAGTTCAGCACTACGGTTCCATATCTGACGCTGTTAAATGTAAGTATATTACACTTTATCTAGCACTTAAATTATGACAACTCAATATAGTTTTACTTCTATTAAGCCCAATAAGTTAACATTAATTACAGAGTTAGGCAAAAATGGATCAGTATAAGCCTTTGAACTTCTACATTAGGTTCACAGCTTTACCAACTTTTCTGGATGGCAAAAAGATGCAAAGATCCTTACCAAAAACATTTATGGAGGTTCCAGCGTCAATGATGCCACTGTTTGGGCGCACACAGTATCTGCGAGGTGCGGTCGTCTTGACTTTGAAACACACATTTCTGTCTGTGGGGTTGGTCAGCTTCAGGGTGGCGGTGACAACATCTGTAAATGGGCCTGAGGATGAGAAAGAAAGAAATGCAGTGACTTGAGTGTGAGTGCAAGCATGTGGGTGAATTTACACGTCTCGTAGTTTGGGTATAGATGCAGCATTTGTTTGTTACTTGGGCTCCTAAGAAGAAAGAAAACAGGGTGGGTGCACAAAGATTCTCCCAGGTAAAAGTGCAAATATACACAATGTAAAAATCCATTTCTGCAAACATCAATATCAGAGCAGATTTTTTTTTAGCGGTTTTACAGAGCCTGCCACAAACAGAGCAAATTAAACATTAAAACAGTGGTGAGATCAGCAAAGTGTGCACGTGTTTATAATTCATACCACGCCCTCAGCCAAACGTTGGATGCTGCAGAAAAATTACTAGATGGGTGTCTTAAGTGCTAATGTTTTCCTTTTGTCTCTGTAGCAATTAGGTCTCTCACACGTTTCTTGACAGCTTAAGCATGGTTTTGGAAACTGATGTTGATGCAAGTGTGCATCAGTAACAGAGTGGGTGTATGGATCTTCTCCAAAGCCCTGCAACAATCAATCAGTGAACAGCCCACTTCAAACTGATACCACCACCCTAGGCCCTCACTTGACCCATTTCTGCAGCAAAAATGACACACCAAGGTAATTATCCAAGAAAATAATCATTACCGCTGGCACTGCAGCTCAGTCCGTAATTTCATAATCATTGTGCTTGGATACAGAAAAGCTGTAAAGGAATTCGGGTTGCACAGTGGGAGAAAACGCCAAATCTCCTGCCGGCTAGCTTATAATATTGTGAAATAGCATGGTAATAAGGATAAGTAATGACACCCTGATCGTGGAAAATGCTAGAATAGGGAATTCTTTGCAATCGGGCAGTAGAAACGACACCGAAGTGGAGGTTGACTGAACCATTAGATCAAATCGAGGTGTTTCCAATGCTGTCAGAGTATAAAAGAGAACGTATGACAAGCAAATGAGAGAATTAGAGAAACGGTGCGGCGGGCCTGCCCTGACGCTGCAATGACAGCTAGCAGTTTGCCTTGTTGCTAGTGAGATTAGCTGGATGCTACTCCAGCGAGCTAGTTAGCACCGTCGCACAGTGTCGTTTCACCTGTCACCGCACAACTGTCGTACACACAATGTAGACTACAGCTAACAGCTATATCCCTCACGTTTTACCACAGCATATACAACGAATGGCACATTCAACTACTCAGTAGTGCAGAAATCGAAATACTGGCTCTCATTTACAACGTCTCCTGTGTTAGCTACCTAAGCTCGGCCCTGCCCTCCGCTTCTTCGGTTACCTCTGAATTTCAGTTCGTGTTGTGGCTCCAGCAACAGGACTTGTTCTGGTCTGGCCATGTCCCAGGGCTTCTTCCTGTCGTGACGGCGAGGACAACAATATTTTTTTTTATCGCAGTTGGCCCGCAGAGGTGAAGCAAGCTGGCTCCCGAAGAAACAACCCGGCCGCCCTCGGTTTTTCTACGGGAGGGTAAATAAAGAGGGGGGATTTATACACGCACAAACACACACCGCCACTCGAACTGACAGGCTGGCTGACTGACTGCCACCGACAGCTGCTGGAGGCTAAAAGGTGCTACTGCTAACTTTACTAGCAGCGGAGACGAGGAAGGAAAAGGCTACGTCACGCTGTGGGCGGGACTAGCAGGTGACGTGAGCTGGTTTTTGTTAGTGCTGTCAAAGAAAGTCCAACGTTTAACAGCTCAGGACTGAGATAAGACAGCACTATGAACACTTCAGCCACAATAAAGATTTTACATTAAGGCCTAAAGCACTGCTACACATTCCTTAAAATGTTATGTTTTAATCTTATATAGTTTTAATAGTGAAAAATACAAACCATACCAGTATATGGAAGAAATTTCAGATCCTTTTTGCCATAGACCTTTAAAGAGTCCTCTTCTGGTTGCTCCCAGTAGGGGCCACCACAGCAGATCATCTGTCTTCATCTCGCTGTCTCCCTTGAATTCTTTCTCATACCAGCCATCTGCATTTCCTCCTTCACTTCATCCATGAATCTTCTCTGTGGTCTTCCTCTTTTCCTCCTGCCTGGTAGCTCCATATTCAGCATCCTTTGCATTAATACATATTTATACCTTCTCTGCACATATCTAAACCATCTCAACTTGCCTCTCGTTAGTGTCATATCTTCAAACCATGCAGTATAACAAGTCTCACAGCCACCTATGAAAATAATGCCAACCAAATTCCTCCAATAGGTCTGCGTAACCCCTCACCATAGGTAGACTCGAATTAGGTAACACCAATTAATTCAGCCAGATTTGACAACCCACAGGAAAAATATGGAAAGGCTGGTCTGTGTTTTTCTTGGCTTGGTTTTTTTCCCCCTCCACATTTGTGTCCTATGTTTTTCCAAATAAAGTTCTTGCTGAGGGCCCCAGTTAGACTTATTCCAGCTCCTATTTTATATCTGTATCTGAATGGACTTAATTTAGCTCAAATTCAGATCCATCAGATATGAGTTTTCCCTTGCTGTGATTTTCTACCACCTTATCACATCCATTCTCATTACATCATGCTCTGCAACACCTTTCTTGTAGAAAATAACCAGCATATGGTTTTGGATGCTGCTTTCACTCCATACTTGCTCCAACGGTGACTTTGGCATCAGCTTAAACTTTGCTTAGGTTGGTGAGACCAGCAGAAAAATATTAGTCCTTTATTTATCCAGGTTAAAAAAAAAAAAAAAAAAAATCTCATTGAGATTAAAAATCTAATTTCCAAGAGAGTCCTGAAAAAAAAAAATAGGAAAAAAAAAAGCAAACTCTGCTAATGTCAAAGCTTAAAATTAATAAAAAGAAATTTTCACTAAGTAAAATGTTGTTTTTGGATACGGAGAGCTGGAGAAAACTTTTTTTTTTTTTTTTTTTTTAAAAAAGTACAAACAACAAACATGTACTAGAAAAGTCTTGTGCATTGCTTCCATACACACCGCTTCAAAACACACCTGGTAAGTTCTGAAAATATAGAATCAACATGTCAAGTTTAAGTTTAGGTGCTTAATGATTAAAAAAATATATATATAGTTTTTAAATTATCAGGGCACTCATTAGGAGGCTGCAATATTTCCTTTTTGACTGAGACCATGGAAACTGAGCTGAGTAGGCTTGGGAGTTACTTAATCCAGAATAAAACTAGGTAATTTTACCTTTAGATACTCACATCGGTGATACATGCAGGAAAATCATTTACACCAGGAGTGTCAAACATAAGGCCAGGGGACCAGAATCTGCTCAGCAAAGACTCCAACCTGGCCTGCTGGAAGTCTTTGAAAATTGTGCAGGAGGGCATAAATCCTGCACTTAAATGTATTCTCAGAAATTTTCTTTTTCCTACCGAAGACGACCTCCTCCACAGCCACACTCTAAGTAATAGATAAGTGCCAAAGTTAAGAGGTTGTCTGAATTAAAAAAAAAAAAAAAAAATCAATGTGTCCACAGTCAAATAATAAAAATGGAAAGTTTTTAACTGAATTTTCTATTTCATAATTACAGGCCCGTCTAGGCAATGAGCTACCAGAACTTTGTAATTTTACACATTTGAGTCCGAAGAGTCATGTTGACACATTTCTTTATCACGTATAAGATATCTCAAGCAGTAAATATGCATTTAAGTTATTTTTACGGGCTAAAAGATTCTCTCAAGTACAGCCCTTTTAAGATCAAAGTGGGCGCACAGTTGGCGACCCATTGTGCTTTTCTACTTGTGCTACATCCTTTCATATTCTTTTCTTCCTGCCAGTCACTCTTTGAGATCATTATATTACACATGTACTTTGAGTAGCAGTAGCAATAAATGAATAAAGAGATAAAAAAAAAAACCAAACAAAAAAACCAAAAGGAGCTAAAGAATTTATAGAACTAAACTTGAAATAGCAAATATGTTTGATACAACAGTGCATTCAGATCATACTTCTGATTGTAAAAGCTGCAAGACAAGGCATCTCTAATTTTTTTTGCTGCGGTGGGGGCAGGAGTAGGGGGGCGGGAATAAATAAATAAATAAATATCAGCACTGTTAAAGATTAAGCAATTTGGTCCGATACGTTACTGATTTTCACAACGAATGTAGATCAGTTTTTTGGTTGGGAGCTAGAGACACAGGTAGATGTGCAAAATGTTCACTGCCATGAGGATTGTTGTTTTGCGAAGCACAACAGTCATAAGAATCGATAAGCTTGGATGCACTTTTGTCTAATAGGGTTGTTGATTTCTATCCCCTGAGTTGCGTAGAGTGTAATGACAAAAACATGACAAAGCAGTTGCTGTTTGCACCAAAAAAAAAAAAAAAAAAAAAAAAAAAAAAAAGAAAAAAAAATTCTTTATTTCATAGAGCTCCTTTTCAGAAAGTAGACCCATATTTGATGTACACATTAAATGAGACTAGGGCACTGAAATGAGAGATGCTAATACTGTACAGGCTGCCTCTGCTGTGCAAGGCTAGGCAGGAGGACCCCCTCCCCCCTCAGCAGAAAAGAAAAACAAATTGTTCTTTTTTTGGCCATTTTTTCTTTTTTTGCAAAAACAAGAACGATTTGTGTAGAAACAAGCAATGTTTTGCATCTGTCACCTCCCACTTATAACCCTTCAGTGTGTGGAAGAAAAAAAAAAAAAATCCCAAACAACTTCAGTTGAAAGGATTAAGTTATAGCAATATGCACACCATCAAGTGTACAATTTGTCAAGGTTCATTTGATTCTAATAAAATACTTTAGAACCCATATAGATTTCATATTTATCTTTTTGGGGGTATATGGATCAAAAAAGAAAAAGAAAAAAAAAGACATTAAATCATAAAGATGGGCTGGAAGGTAAAGGGTGGAAAAAACCCCCAAAAATAACCCAAGAAAAAAAAAAAAATAAAAAAAAAAAACCAACCAAAAAACAAAAACCCAACCACCCCAAAAAACAAAACTCTACTAAAGCTACAAATGGTCATCCACCATCTCCAAGGAAAGGAGAGGCGAAAGAAATAGACTGAGAAAGAGAGAGGTGGGGATAAAGAAAGGGAGAGAATGTAAGAGCGAGGGAGGCAGGGAGAGGATTGGCCAAGCTATACAGCGCAGTATGACACCCACTTTAGCTCATTACACACGTACAGTCGTGATCAAGGCACAGGGATCTTCTAAAAGTTTTTTCCTCAATAAAGTTGTACAAAATAATACATTTTACAGTCTGTACAAGAATAATAGTTCAGCAGTAAAGTAAAGACAGACATACAAGGGAGGAGAGGAGGAATGGTGGAGGGAGGAATGGCAGGGAGGTGCAAGCACACAGGTGGGGGCAGAAAAAAAAAAAGTCCCATTTTGTTGTGTTTTTAATATTCCAAGATTAATATATCTTATTTTCTCTTTAAAATGAAAGACCACTGCCAGGAAGGTAAAAGTGCAAATGGAAAAGGTGGCGGTGAAGAGGGTGGGCGAAAGATGGAGAACGTGTAGAGAACGGGTGACAAAAGGATGACAAAGAGTTGAGATAAAGAAAGAGCGCACAGGGCACAATGGCACAAAAGTCTACACAGAGAAAAACAGCTGTGGAGACTGTATAACAGGATGAGAGTTCTCTTTAACTTATATGGTACTGTACTGTTGAAGGATGCCCGTCGCCCTCTATTGAAAGTCCCATAGAAGTTGGCATTTCTGGTTCTTTTTGTTTTAAACTCAATATATCCTCCTCACGTGATACTCCGATACCAACAAGACAAAGTCAGGTGGCTAAACAGTTCTGTAGAGAAGCCGCTGGCGCCCCGGTCAATCACGGCCGACACCTCCCATCAGAGAAACTCAAATCGCAGTTGGCTCCCATCCCGTTTTAGTGAACACCTGCTCGAGTGACGTCTCACCAACACACCCGTGGTCTGGTTAAGTCTGTGGTAACGCTGCTCCTCTGGGCTCGGCTGAGCTTCGCCCGTTTAATCTCAAAAAGCACCGACCCAGATAAATAGCCGGCATCTCAACGAAATGCGAGCAGGTACGTGCGTTGCCAGATTGACCCCCCTGTTGTGCAGTCCAGTAAAAAGCAGGTGAGATGTGTTGTGTGTGCGCAAGCAGAGCCACTGGATTTAAAGATGTCTCTAAGTGAAAGGAAGGTTTGGTGTACATGGTTTGAGTCAAAGTCCTGAGCACAGTGCTTGTTTTTTTTGTTTTTTGTCTCTCTTAAATACAGTGTTCAGTTGATCTGCTGTGATATATTCATTCTCCATTTGCAGTAATTCATCTCTTTCCCAATTGCACTGAAGTAGTAGCTCTTAGTTTTCAGCCCAATCAGGGGAGAAAACCCCCCCCAAAAAAACCCCAAAACGAACAAAACTCAAGCTGCAGCTCCAACCCTCGCTGCAGGAAACTCAGTCCGGACTGGGCCACTTTTTTTCTGTTTTTAGGAAGGTGAAGGTAACGTGACGATAACATTATGTCGAAAGGTGAGGAGCTGGGAGTATGGCTGAAAGTCAAGACTGAAGTCTGTTTTACGTGTAAGCCCCTCAAACCCATCCGTCAAAAATTCTGCATCAGGTAGAGCGTTTGCATCAGGGGAATTTCTGGGTTCACGGCGTGTTTACTATAAGTGTGTGTTTTGGCCCCTGTTGTGTCACAAGAGCTCTCATACTTCTGCAGAAGAGTTCAGAGACGCAGGTTCAGGGATTTCTTTTTCGTCTTCCATAGTCCGATCTGGTTTTATCTTTTTGGCCTAACACCTTTCCTCTCCCATCACAACAGCTCGTACTGCCGCAGGTGCATCCGCTGGATGATGTCTCGACAGTCATTAAAGACGCGGCGGATGTTCTCTGTGTCGACGGCGCAGGTGAAATGGGGGTAACAGTAGTGCCTTCCATCTCCACTTGCTGTGCTGATCCTCTGTAGAAGAAAGGAAAAGTTACAAAGCAGCTAAACAACTTTTGTGCAGCAGAAACGTCTCCAAATTTTATTAAAGCATAACCCCTGCCCCTCCACTGCATACATTTAAAAACAAATCCCATGAAAGACAGCTACGCACTTACCAGGAACTCATCTCTGATGAAGTACTTTGCCCTTGTAACACGCGGATCTTCTCCAGGTTCTGGCGTCGCTGTAAGAGGAGACAGAGGCCAGTGACTAACTTCTCACCATATGCAATTTCACAGGTAGACAATTTAAACATGACAATGCAACAACTAGTAAGGAGGCACTACAACTCTATAGCAGAATGTGTAAGACGTAAAAAGAAGCTTTCCACCTCACAGAGCAAGCGCTTCACTACAAAAATCTTCTAGGTGTATCCAGGATGACCCCTTGTGGTGAATGATATCAAAGGTATCCTTTCAAATTTCTGGATGAGTTGTTGCATCGAATTTTCCATTTTTTTAAATGATAAATTTCATTGATGAAAATAAAAATGTGTTTTCACGTCGGTATAATTTATTGTACTTAATCTTAACACACACACACACACACACACACACAGAGCTCAAAATCAGATGCTGTAATAAGGCAGCTCACCATCATCAGGTGTGGTGTAGCGAGCAAATTCTGGGAAGTATTCTTCGATTTTGGACTTCCCTGCCAACACCTTCTCTGCAAGCAGGTCCTGTTTATTTAGGAACAAGATGACAGAAATGGTCCGCAGCCACCTGAGGAAGACGAGAGACTGAAATAAGATCACACTGAAATATAAAACTGTTTCCAAGTGTGAAAAGACAAAGTTCAGTCAGCCAAAATAAGCCATAACAGGGGCCAGCAGATAACAGTTCGCTTAGTACTTGCTCAAAGTGTTCTAGCTTCGAAACCATGTTTGATAAATAACTTGCCTACCCTTGAGAGGCTGAAGTGCTGCGAAGGCTTTCTGATTTCCTATGCTGTCAACTTAATCTCAGGATTCAATACAAAACAAACCACAAGTCCACAGGATGACAGGTTTGGCGTCTTTCCTCACCTGTTGTTCCAGATATTCTTGAAGAGGTTGAGGGCCTCCTGTAAACGGTTGGTCTGATTGTCCTCTCGGATCACCATGTTGTAACTGCTACTGGCCACCACAAAGATGATGGCTGTTACGTCTGAGGAAGAGGGAGGAACAGCGATAAATCAGACACCGTGAGAGAAAAGGATACGAGTCAAGGGAAGTGAGAGGAAATAAACACCACTTACCATTAAAGCACTGAATCCATTTCCTGCGCTCATCCCTTTGACCGCCGACATCAAACATACTGTACAGATATAAATGTAAACATGGAAAATGCTGCCATCATGTGGAGAAAATGCATATGTACAGCTGATTTGTGTTTATATCCTCAGACACTGTAGATTACCTTTGAAAGAAACTGTTACTCTCCACCCTTTTTTACTTACTGGAAATTAACTTTGTCCACTTGGAATCTCGTCTCAAAGATCCCTGAAGTCAGTACTCTGCACCTCAGCAAATCCTGGTGAACAGGAGTGACACAATGTAACAACAAGGCTTTTATGTGCCAGATTAGAGTGACAAACCTGGAGAAACACTCACAAGATACAAATCCAACATATGGAATATTTGGACAATATACTGAATTTCAAAGTGAAAAATAAGAGGATATAACACATTTGAGTTTGGCACCAAAGGAGCAAAAGCATAACTTTAATATGTGACAGGGACCAAAATGTTAAAGTCCCTTCCTCATAAAATACTATTCAGGGGAAATAGTTGTATAGTTAAATGTAGGATATTAACTTTGTAGTGGAAGAAGTTCACCCACCTGATCTGTTGGAGTGTAGTCACTCTGTTTCACAATGTCGATCTTGTCTAGAAAGCTGAAAAGACGAGAGACACAAAAGGCAAGAGAACAGTTACCGAAGTAATACTATAGACCACACAGTGGTTTCATATTTTTAAGACTTGTACAGGTGTGCTCAAGGAGTCAAATGAGACAAAAAAAAAAAAACCCCAAAAAAAACCCCCAACACTGGTATAATACCAGGCATGACTGTGCACTTTTTCCTCCAGCAACACTTAAGTATCATCTCTCATGTACATCGCCACAGCTGTGGTATTATATGAAATACAAAACCAGTTTGCCAGAGAGGCTGTCCGTGTGGTTTTGAGCCCGACATACTGAGACTTAAAGTCTCCAATAGAGAGAGATACCAATAAAACCAACTTTTGAATTTAATTGTATTTTTCTACAGCAGATGACCTTGAAGGTAGAAGCATCCTCACTGCTCACTCAATATGCAGGGAAAACACTGAAGCTGTTGTCCAGTATGCCAAAATGAGTCAATGTGAAAGCAGGGAGTGAGCATAGCTACAAGTGATGACAACTCAAAGGGCAGAAGACGATAGATTCAGGTTACACCCAGCTTGAGGAAACTAAGATCTTATGGAGAAGAGTACAGTGCATTCAGTAGTTTTAATATGTATAGTATTTAATGTAGCTTTTTCCTCATTTGCAAGAGAAGGTGGGCCTCCTGCAACATCTGCAATTATTTCACATTTGAGTAAAAAGGATGACCAAGAAGTGCTATGTTAAAGATCAGAACAAGCCGCAGGCAGCATTCAAACATCTTGCCGATGACAGCAGGTCATCAATATATCATGGAAGACATGGATGAACTAGGAAACAGGAAGAGGAAGTGGACAGTGAGAGAATCTTTGGGATTCTTTGAAGGTCCGAGCAACCACCAGCCCCATCCGGAGAGGGAAGAAAGAAAGAGAAAAAAAAAAGTGTCCAGAAGGTAAGATGAGAGCACACACACAAGAGTGGAAGAGGTAAAGAAACAGAAGGAGAGAGACAGAATGAAGGTGTAGTGGCGTCTGTCTGACATTACAGAGCAGATTTCAAAAATAGCTCCCCAGCGCCCTGGCCTGCAGCACGGTTACCATGGAGACCCAACCACAGGCACTATTAATAGTCTATCAGCACCCAATCTCGTGCAGCTGGAGTAGCACCAGAAAGAAGACAGACTGATGGAGAAAGGGGAAAAAAGGAGGAGAGAAGGAAAGAAAGAGCAGGATGAGTTTGTGTTGTGTGCAAGGAGGAGGGATCACAGACTGGACTGTACCACTTGAGTGAGGAAATCAACTTTTTAAAGATCAAACCGATCTAAAGTTCTCAATGACCGGATGCATTATTCACCAGGATGGATTTATTAGTAAAAAACAGTCAAGACTACAGGGTCATAGTCAAGAGCTGAGCAGCGAAGGTATCCTCCTCAAACATCACCCCCCCCTCCTCTAAGCATCCTCTGATCTGTAGATGACTCAGCCTCCGCCATGTTTGCTCCCAAACCCTGCAAACTGCAGCTGTTACACGACTCCTTCACTATACATTTTCTTTGTGGTTTTACCTGCTTTTGTTTGGAAAAAAAATATAAACTGGACAACTCTGACCCATAAAAAGTACATTTAGGACCCCCCTTAATCACTTAACGTATGCACATCCAGATTTTAAGATTTCAACCAGTGACTCCTGTCTCAGCTCCCTTTTAAAAGTCATCCACCTTTGTTAGGATGACTCCATACTCCTGACAGGTTATGATAACTTTGCTGTTTTTATTTGTAGCAGATGCAGAGTGCTCCAAGTCTCGTCAGTGATTTTTAGAAGTCCGCAGGTATTTAATGTATCCCAAAAATATGACCCTTTAAGTTTTATTTCAGTGTTTACCAGGACATGAAAACTGCATGTTTAGAAACACCACTCGAAGACTAAGCTGTTTTAATAATAGTGATGCACTGTATCAGTCTTAATTCAGCAAGAGACTCGTTTCCCTTTATGCTGAAGAGCTTTGATATTGTCGGACTTACTCCTAATCGAGATGATTTCTAGCTAGTTTTCCCTCATTAATGCACTGAATCAGCATCGTCAAATCTAATCTTCTCCACTACACAATTGCATGCCAGCATTTTCACATACGACCACACTCGTCATTTACATGTGTAAGGGTGCGTTGGTGCCCGCACATTGGGAAAATGAGAGGAAACAGAAGGAGGGCGTTTCTATCTGCTGGGTTGATTTTAAATTAGAGCTTCATGCAACTTTGTTTATAGACTAGCTACTTTACCTCTTTTCCTGAACTTTGAGTCAGTGTGTGTTGTTGAAAACATGCAGTGTGTGGTGAGGGTATGGAGAAGGGTTCAGAAAAACAGAATCAAGTCTTTGTTAAGACTCAAAACAAACGTGTCACAGTCAAGTCAAAACATTTGGTTGAGTTGTTCATCTCAAACTCGAGTATGAGCACCGGTTACAGTATTGAAGTCCATAACTGTATGTAGAGGTGGTATATGCCGATATTACCTATGAGCTTTCTCCTCTTGATGGGAAATAAACTCTGGATCTCATTGCATTTAGTTTTTAAATCTTTTTTAAAGCACAGTTAATATTATGTAGGGTGCATAGTGCTTCCCTAACGAGTAGATTTTTTGGCAATCTCTTAGGGAGCTAGAGCATTCATACTATCCGGTCTTCAAGTCTGATATTATTAGCCGTTTCTGGGTCCAAGCTACACTTTAAACAAATATAGCAGCATCACAGAGTTACAATTTTGCCTAAATTCTTTCCTCTTTAATAAAATGATCAATGTGACTGCTCTACCAGGTGTAACAATTAGGTTTAACATCCAGGCATTCACCATAACAGAGCTAGCAGGGAGCTACAGATGGAAACCATGGATTGAGATTTCTGAAAAAATTAAAACTTACAGCTCTGCTATCACAGCCGACAAAAATGAAGACAGAAAACTAAACAACAATGTTTGCAGGGTTACTGAAGTTGGGCTAGCTGGTATATAATGTTGTTCTATGTCACTGCTAGCTACACAGCTATGATTTGCATAATATAAACACATTAGTACACTAAAGTTGGAAGATGAATGCCAACTTTTTTCCACTCAATAGAAGATCATGTGATGGTTCCCGATGGTTAGGGATAAATGCAATTGCATATCAGGAAGCTGTAAACAGACTAAACTTCAGTCAGGAGAACAACTGAGATAATCCATTCAAAATATGAGGTTGGTCATTAATATACTACTGCATGGGGCTTTAGTTACATCATAAGGTTTTAAAAGCTGAGCTTTAAAAATGAATAGTGGTAATAAAAGTGACAGAGGTCGACAGTGATCACTGAATTTTTTGTTTTGGGGGGCTTGCTCAGATGACATTGAATAAGATACAAACCAAAACCCAAACCAAAAACAGCCTTAATAAACGCAGAGTAGTTTGGACCTGGAAGCAGGGTTCATACATCATCACTTAACAACCGGATTGACGAGGCTAGGGCTCACATTGCTATCATCTAGTTTTGAGTCCTTAGTTGTCATTTAATCTAAGGAAATAATTTAGCCAGATTTAAGGAAATTAAGGTAAAATGCACTTTTCTATAATACACGGTCTCATTGCCATATAGGAGTCATGAATTGAAAAAACCCAACTAGTATGCCTTACCTGCCATGAAACCGCTTAGTAGCGCACATGCTGGGATCAGGATGAGCATGTCTACCCCAGATTTCACCCTACTTATGCTTTAGTCATAAAACCGGAAGTATTAGAACAAATACGAAAACATACTTCAGTCTCTACTTCTTTGTCAATAATGCAACTGTTCATCCTGCTTGTAACCGGCTTCCAGCAGGACCTGACACCATCTCAAGCTGAAAGGAGCCGCTCTGCTATGCAACTTCTAGGATGCCCCAAGTACACAACATTTGCCTCAGATTACTAGTAATAAGCTTCTGTAACTCAAAGCAAACAAAACAATAAATAAAAAAAAATGACAATTAAAACTACACCAACTATAAGATAACCACACAAAATGGCACCACATGCACAGTATCAATAGAAACTAGAAGTTATCCCTCACAGAATCCTCACATTTATAAATCACGTCACCATGAAGTTGAACTTAAGTTACTTACTACTGTGCACAGTCGATTAGCTGGTACTCATTGGATCTCTCATAGCAAGCCCGGACACCTTCGTCTTGCCACAGTGTCTTTGCGTGATCGTAAAACTCCTGAGAACAAGAAGATTTGGGGGGGGGGGGGGGGGGGGGGGGGGGGGGGGGAGGAGAAGATGAATCATACAGGCAGAACAGGAGAATTGAAGCATCAGCAAAAGTTGGACATTGTTAGTAATCATGTTTATCATGAAATTACAAAAAACAAGTTCTGTGTCACTGCAGTGGAAATGCGAGACAACATTAGAACCACTGCATGATTAAACAGGATTGAGCAACAGCTCATGTGCTTAAACATGTTTCAAAGTAGGCGATTGTGTGTATTCCTTGTGCATGTTACACTGAACATGACATGAAACGGGGGGGGGGGGGGGGGGGGGGGGGGGGGAGAAAAAGCACAGGGCTGTCTGTTGTCCATGATGTGTATGTGAGGGCACCTCCTGCCCAGCGTTTCTGTTGACACCATATGCAGTGTACGTTGTGCCTGGGCGATGTCTGTGTGCACATCTTTAAAAAGGTAAATAAGGGTGCAGATTCCTCACAGCAGACAGAGACTTTGTGACATGCAGATATCAAATCAATGAAGCATTTATCTTTTTTGCACTCTTAACACCTTTGCCGATTTCATTTTAAGGAAGTAAAAAGTTGCAGAAACAACAGCAACAACAACACCTCTGTGTGTCACTCACTGACCACTTTGAGCACACCCGTTAAACCTGACTTGAACTGTCCGGAGCATTGTACATGCATGCTTCTTAACTGGCTTCATGGTGGCTGGTGGTGTGCTGGATTGCATTACACGGCATGTTCCCAATATTTTGTCCACTCCATTAACATACATGAAGAAACATTAGGCAATGTCAAGCACTCCGGTACACCACCAGCCACTATGTGAAGCCAGTAACAAAGCTGACTTGTCGCTTCTTTAATAACATCAAAAACTGAAAGGGTGCAAGCTTTGTGAAGGTGGAGTTGATGTTTGAACTGTTGCTCAGGCTTACAGTAGATTTTACGAAATGAAGTGGCAACACTATGAGAATCATTGTGATAAAAAGGACCATTTTATAACTGCAGCATCCAAACCCTTCATCCTTAAAAAACACGCAATACATATTTAGCACAGTTTTTAAAAATGGATCATTCGGTCTGCTGCTCCTGAACCTCTCATCAATGTCACAGAAACATGGCCATTAGTCAGGTGACTCTGCTCCTAGATTTAAAAAGGAACAAGTTTGATTTCCTTAGAGTCTTCCAATCCCTATGAGCACACTGTTGAGCATTTTGACAAAACCCTGTGTCTCCACATTCCTGATCAGGGAGGTTTTCCTCATGTACAACAGCGTGTTCCCCGTGTGTGTGTAGCTATATGCACTGAAGCTACTGAAATTTACTTGTGGCTGTAAGGTGGCAACACCTGTTATTGCTGACATATCACCCCAAAATAACTTAACACAAACAGCACAACTAGTTTTTCTGCCGATTTAGATGCCCACTCTAAACACATATAGTATATTCTCCTTCATTACAGCCAAATTCATTATATTGCTCATTTACATTTTTTTTTTTTTTTTAAATACCAGCATCTGTGCTGTGATATTGACATTTAATATGAGAGATGCTGCTTCTCTTACTGCAGATTTCTAGGCATCACTAGATTGTGATATGAAATATGTGACTGTTTGATCAATAACTGCAGCTAGTTGCTAAACTAAGAAAAAAATCAAATTTGATGCACTCATTTAATGAAAATAAAAAAGTTGGGGGGGAATTAAGAGCAGACCAACTGCAGTGACTCAAAAGGTATTTTCTATGTGCAGAGCCATTTTTAGCTCATCTATAAACTAAACAAATGCAGGTCAAATATATCTGGTTTCTCCTACACTACAGGAACAAAGGTATTGAGTCACCTACACTTTACACCTACAGGAGCTGTTCAGCCTTGGAAACCCATGCCATGTAGCTCCTGGTGCACAGTTTGTGTGCTGATGTTAATGCCAGAGTTTGGCTGTTACTGAGTCAGCGGAGTGTTAGAGCCTCAGGACTTGACGACCCTGCTCTGCCACTTTGAAGCAGAGTTGCTGTGGTTTCTAAACACTTTGACTTTGCAATAATACTACTTCGAGTTCATGGTGGAATATCTAGGAGGGAAGAGATTTCATGAACTGATTTGCTGCAACAGTACTATCCCTAATATAGCACCATGCTCGAATTCAGCAAACTCTTTAGACTGGCTCTTTCAGCAGTGTTTATAAAGTCAGACTGCATGGCTAGGTGCTTGATTTATACATTTGGGGCGATTGTGGCTCAAGAGTTGGGAGTTCGCCTTGTAATCGGAAGGTTGCCGGTTCGAGCCCCGGCTTGGGCAGTCTCGGTCGTTGTGTCCTTGGGCAAGACACTTCACCCGTTGCCTACTGGTGGTGGTCAGAGGGCCCGGTGGCGCCAGTGTCCGGCAGCCTCGCCTCTATCAGTGCGCCCCAGGGTGGCTGTGGCTACAATGTGGCTTGCCATCACCAGTGTGTGAATGTGTGTGTGTGAATGGGTGGATGACTGGATATGTAAAGCGCTTTGGGGTCCTTAGGGACTAGTAAAGCGCTATATAAATACAGGCCATTTACCATTTGAATTTGAAATTTAAAGTGTTTACCAAAATCTACATAGTGTACTAGAGTGGGCAATAGACAAATGGCTGTGTTGCACATAAACACTGGAATTTGCTGTGTGTAGCCATATGTAGGAAGTCATCCAATATTTACTTAGACAGCAAGTCAACGGCACATTCCTCTATTAATTTACACTATGGGCTGCAGAGATGAGACATTAACAAATGTGTGATTCAAATTGCAAACAAAATTTGCTCTTCACATTTTACAAATGAAACACTCATTCCATAAACTCAGTTAAAGTTAAGAAATCTGACTTGGTAACAATTAGTGCAGCCCTCAAGTCATCATGTAATGGAAAAGTAAATGGGTTGGACTTATCTTATCCCAATCATCCAGCAGGCAGTCTACAATAATGTACCTGACAAAAATAAGGATCTCCAATCATTTTTAATCTGCACTGGATTCAATTCCTCGTCTCCATTAAAGTCCTAAACCGGTTTGACCGTGGTAAACGGCTTTAAACTATTAATGTTGGAATTCACCTGTTCACAAACCTGCATGCGTCACGTGTGGGCACGTCCGTCCTCGTAGCTCTTTACAACTTTACCAGCACTCTGCTTGCTGAATTAACTGTAATACTCCCTCCTTTAAATTAAAAATGAAATCTAACCTAAACATTTATAGTGGCAGGCGCACAAGGGCACTGTTAAAGCCAGTTTAAAAGCAACTGACTTCCTGCAAACTGATTCCCGTTTCATCCTGATTTACCATTAGTCTTCATTTCGAGATAAATTAATAATGTCACAGTCCTGACTGGAAGTGATGATGTGCCTATGACGCTCACCACCACACACACTTTTCACCATCATGTTTTATAACTTGGAAACTATGCCATGCTTGTCATAAACAAGTCATCCAACCAAACAAGTAAAACGACCATAAACAAATAATTGCTTCCCAACAGCTCAGAATGCATGGAATTCATTGGGCAGCGGGGTGATTTAGTGGTTGACGAGAGTGGCTCGTAGGTTAAATCTCTCAGATTTGAGTCCTCTGACAGCTGATTTGTCTTAATGAATTGTTGCAGAGTTAGATTTGCTGTCTGCTTACAAACTACAAATCACTCAGGGTAAGAGTGTGAGCTCAGTGCCACTATGTAAATAAATGGGTGTCTGGTGAGGATCGTTACTTGACTGAAACACAGCTGCCCCTTTAGTTTCAATATTTCCCACCCCTATTTATCATTTATGAACTTTATTCAAAATAAACAGAAGTAACAAAAGCTTCTTCTTGAAAAAGTCATACAAGACTGAGTGACCTGAAACCTCAAGCCCAACAGGTGGCTGTAGATAAACACTGACTAATGTCCACACTAACATTTTAGTGTTGAGTGCATAACTTACTTCCCATGCATTGCACTAGCCCTCAGACTTTTGCAAATGCTGCTGAGCTCCAGCACTGCAGTGCAGTGCTAACTACTACACCACCAGTGCATGGCGGCATACCAAGTGTCAGTTGTCTTAACATACACATTTTCAAGACGGACAAAGACTCCCAAAAATAATACCACCGTTTCACCTTAAACTGCTATAATCATATTAGTGTAGGTATTGTGCAAATCTTCATCTCTTGGGATAGACAATTAGTCAATGGAAATATCCCGCTGAGAATACCAAACCCACACAGACATTACCAGTGGATTCATTAGTAAACCCCAGTGTCTATAACAGTCTCTGGACACAGTCTTTACCTGTTTCAAGAGATCCTCACCTGTGACACTGGGAGTAATTCCTACCATGATCTACTGAAGTACAAACACACAGCTGAAAAGGCCATGGCCCTGCTACAGATCCATTATACAGACTTTAAAAATAATAACACAAATTTAAATAATAAAAGTCCTAAAATGTACCTTACACATCTATCCCAATTTCTGAAGCAACCCAACAAACTCAAACAAGTATATAAGGTCAACTCTACAATTCTTAGTAGAACATAAACTGGGGCAATGAACTATGAAAACGTGAGCCATGAGTTCAATTTGAAAGAGTAAAGCTGGAAAATTACTGTCATTATAAAACAGTTCTGAAGATCAAAGCAAGGCAAACAAGAAAAACCGCTAAATAAATTACTTAAAGAAAGCTACATGTCAAAGTGTGGGTTGATATGTATTTGGTGATATATTGCTACTCACAGATGGAAAATCAAAGTCTTTCTGATTGACAAAGTTGAGGATGTATTCAATCCGGCACTGGTTTTCAGGACATGCCAACTGGACAGGTGGGGTTAGGGTACTCATAGCTGTTACTATGGTCTGTAGAAAAGAAACCCAAAGAAAAACGATAAGACAACACGACAGGTTACGGCCGCATTTGTCTAAGCTGCTACTAAACCACCAACAGCACACTTACCTCGATAGCCTCTTTAATATTATTCTTAATGTCCTGGATTTTCTGCTTCTTCTCTCTGAAACAGAAAATGTTCAATGAGAAGCAGTAAATCGCAGAAATACTGCAAATGTCTTCAGAACAGGAAAAAAAGTGCATGCATATAAAAACTGTTTGACTGAGATGAAGTGCTCAAAACATGTAAAACGAGTTCTACTTTTGTCTGCAGGTGATTTGTTATATATAGAAAAAGTTAATATCCTAAAGATTTTGGATATTAATGTTTAGCATTTAACCTGCAATACATTGAGACCACAAATTAACCATAAAACAGCAATAATCTGAAACTGTTAAGAGGGAGCAAAATAGAGTAAATAAAAAGACAAGACATAATTTAGCGTTAAAAAATAATTTAAGGCTAATGGTGACAGAATGATTACATTTGTTTTTTGAACCAGTCGGTGACATTTTGTCAAACAGACAAAACTGCATGATACAAAAGCAACTTCACATCCACTGAAAGAAAACAGCCATTCTCACAGCTTGCACTGCAACTCTGCCTCTCTTCAAACCACTATATTTACATCAAAAACATGTTTAGTTTTGCTATAAAGTATCATTTTAATGAAGCTTGGAGAAAAAAAGAAAAAAGAAAAAAAGTGTTAGAGGTCCCTCTTACCCTGACCGGGTGCATTACAGTCCACTGTATTAGGTTTGTTTTTGGTCTGTATGGGTAAACAGACCTTCATTGACATGCATGCTAGCGAAATTATGTCTGTCTGCTGTAAATGATAGCTGTGTGTTTGAGACATTTGGACTGACAAAAAAATGTTTCTAATAAAAGGCAACCAGAGAGCCAGTTAGTCTATCTTTCACCTTGAGCCTGCCAGGACAACAGTACATTGTGTTTACAATAGCTCCATGTCAGTGACAAGGGTGAAACGGTCCCCTTTACAAACTTATCTACACTTAACAGCCACAAATGTATGTATACAGCCAAAGCCATGACACCAAAAGCTAACGTCTGTTCACTAGCTTCAGTAACTTGGCATTTCTGGCACTCAGTCTTTGTGGTGAAAGAAAAACAAAAACATATTTTACAACAAACCACATGTGAGGTAACTGGGAAGAAAAGAAAAATAAAATGGGGGGGGAGGAAGAGGTTATGAGGGGAACTGGGAAGGCACATTTACATTTTTAAACTGATAGTCAATGAAGACTGTCACATGGTTGTGTGATCTCTCCAGAGAGACTGCTTCCCTCTGTATGGTTAGAGAGAGATGGACTTAAAGATGTAACATATATGCAATATGTGCTACAGTGATTGCATCCAAAAAACATGTGTTCAATAAAAAAGAAAAGCGTTTAGGTGGATGATAGCCCATCTAAAGAGGGTTTGAAATCAATATCAATAACATTCTGTACTCTAGTGTGTTGCATAACATGGATTAATTAATAATCAACTGGCCATCTATACCAGGGGTGTCAAACATGAGGGGTGGTGGCCAGAACGGGGCCAGCAAAGTCCCCCCCCCAAAAAGAGAAAAAAAACAGACTTGTATGAAACTGAAATTCAGTAAGTTGTAAGAAGCCACATTAAGTTAACATGAAGACTGTATAGAAGTCTCACTTCAGCCCATTTTTAAGCTTGCTGTGTTGGTTTCATGGCCAAGGGGGTGGGGGGATAATAATAAAACTGCTTTGATTCAACTTTAAGGCCCATCATCTGCCCCTCCCCCTCAATAAAAATGTCCCAAATACCCCAGTCCTCATTTTTGCCTACTTTCCAGTTCCAAATGCCTTGCCCAAGGGCAGCTAAGTCACGTTTGTTCAAAGAATATGGAGAGATGAGTCATCCATTCATCTATTTCCCAAATCACGCCGGCAATTGGAACTGCCAGTCTTCCGGTCACGAGACAATTACTCTGACATTACCATGATGCCACAACACTCAATCCATTCACCCCAAAATTCTTTTTATCACAGGCCTTATTGAACCCTTTAAGGCTCAAATCAGTATATTATGTCCTGCCTGAGGATGCAGGCAAATTAAAGCACATTATTATGCTTGTCATGTGAAGTCCGTTCTGGAACACCGTTTTGGTTTAAAGAGACCTTCATTGATGAAGGTGATTAATTCCAAAGGTGACGTCTGATCAGACATACACAGACAATAAACCTAACATGAAAATCCTCCAGTTTACTGCATCTGAGGACAGGAATGAGCCATACAGGTCTCAATAAACACGAGTCACATTTATGACTCCAATGGCACTCTACGGATTTGTTTCTTAATGAAGACAGATCTCACCCATGCAAGCAGAGACAGACACACTGACACACACTGTTCTGTGTTGTGGAGTCACACACTGGGTCATATGCCCAAGTTCGCCTTAAGTGCTGAAAATCTAGCCTAACCTCGCAAAGATACTTCCATCTTATCAATACATGACCACCACCAGACCAATACAAACATCTTATTTTACTCCTGAAACTGGTTAAGCAAAAGTTAAAGATGTGCTCCCAAAAACACTGAGGAGGGGGGGAAGAAATGCAACACAAGGGTAGTCTTTAGAGTTTTCACACAGAGGGTTTAATTTGTTAGACCACTCAGCTAGATTAACCCTCAACCAAGTATGCTTGGTGATTCAGTTCAACCCCCCACCCCAATCCATCAGAGGGAACAACTATCAGTTATATTGTTGGTCACCGTTGGAGTGACCTTAGGAGACCCTGACAGAAACTTGTGCAAGTACTATAAAAGTTCAGCTGCTGGCTAGCTAGCTCCAACTCCCATCTCATGTTCTCCTATCGGAAAGCTGACCAGGACACTGATCTAGTGGTCTTTCATATCATTCAGCCTTCTCTCTATTTTGTCTGGTGTTCAGACGGACTTCTGCCCTGGAGATCTCTTGCAAGAGTGCCACTACCCTGATCTTAAAATGAGCAGCATTGCTAACTACTCTTCAACATGGTGGAGCTAGCAGTTGAGGCACTGGAGAACAGCAAATTATTGAAATCATTTATCACAAAGCTGGCTTAATTTTACTTGTAGGTGAGCAGTTTTTAGGGTACTGACTGTCAGTTCTTTAAGCCGGCTTGGAGCACCTTACCCTTACATGCACGCTTCTCCTTACCTGGGCAGATTTCAAAACTTAAACTAGGCCCAGTCATAGCAGTCAATTTAGCTTCGACCAGAGGTGGTCAACAATGAGTGAGCTAAGTGGCATCATAATGTCTTTACAGAGAATTAGCTCACTAAATAATCGCTTTTAACCAAATCAAAAAATGTCTAATTTCTGCCAATACTAGCATATCAATAAATTAATAAATAAATTACTTCAACGCTCCAGGGCTATATAGTAGAAGATGAAACTACCTTTAGGATTCTATTGCACCATTTTACAACTGAATCAATACAAGTTAGGTCTACTAAAAGTTGACAAAGTATCCCACTATATAGTCAGTTCTCTTCACAGTGAAAAGCCTGCAGGCTGGTCAGCGACCCCTTGGAAACCTCCAGTTGGTAGCAAAAAGTGTAAATTTGCCAAATGGTTGGCAAGTGGTTGCTGGCTGTTGCTAGGTCAAAGTAGTTGCAAAGAGGTATACTTGTTTCATTAGAAACTTATGACCATTGACAGAAACTCTTACAGGGGTCTCTGTGGCGCTGAGGAGGAGATGTAGATTCAGCCTGGGATAAAAGTCTTCAAACCCACAAGCCAACATGAGCCTCAGACTTAAAAGAGCACTCAGCAGAATGCTGCTCATTCTCAGCCTCACTCTAGTACTCACTCTGCATTGAAGCCGTTGACATGTAGGATCCTCATCTGTTTCACTATGGTGCTCTTTCCCGACTCTCCAGCTCCTGAGAGAGAAAAAGTGAAAATGGATTATGTACCTTACTGATACACTTACATGCACTCAGTGTTGGGATAAAATGGGTGTTTATCTGAAATACCAGTTTACAGTGTAAGTACAACTTCCTTTATGTGGACACAAGCACTGTAGCTCACTACAAGGTTAAAGGTCCCAAACTGTTATGGGTTTGACTGAATAAGTTGCCTGCAAACTGACAATTAGTGCAGTGCCCGCTGTTACAGGCATGTTCGCACCGGTGACATTACTATGAGGTCACAGAGGTGTGAGAACAAGCGCAAATAAGGCCACCAATAAAGCACAACACTAGATTATTATCCAAGGGGCCAGAGAACAAAAGAAGACCTTGAGATTCCTTTTTAAACTACTTCAAATAATGGTTTAATTTTGAATAAAGTATAACATCTTGTTGTGTCTGCCCCTACAATCTCTTACCCTTTAAGCAACTATGACAAAATACAGAAAAAAAAAAAAAAAAAAAAAAAAAAGAGCCCCAAAACAATTCGAAAGCCCATTTGTGTGTCCTGGGGAGAAAACATGTTAAGGTGTGCACACAAGAGGAATATTCTGATCATTCAATATCACCCGGGATGGGAGACTTCATTCTGCAGCATCACAATGAGTCCCCCCCCCAAAAAAAAAGCCAGCACCAAGAACCATCTGACAAGAACAAGGGGTCCATCAACAGATGCTGTAACCCCCCACAGAGTCCTGATCTCGACACCATGCTCTCAGTTAGACTAAGACTAGCTAAAAGTATAACATATCACAATTCTCCTAAGATACTGCATGAAAAATTTGAATTGTTAAAAAATAAATACATAAATTAAATCCAATTAGGGTTTTTTGTGTTTGTATTCAGATGTCAACAATACGCTTGTCGTCACTTTATCTGAGCCTGAACCTTACTGTGTAATATTGTATATGTGTGTTATTCATTTTCATTTCTATTTTAACAGACTGAAATTGATAGCATGCAGCACTACCGGGCCGTTAGTGGTAAGCTGCAGGTTGCCAGATGAATTGCTTGGAACTGCTATAAGAATGAAACTCAGTTTTTGCCCTGTAATGTCAAACCTACAGCATGCAAGGCTACATGAGGAATGAGCAAATTTAGTTACAAGACCCAATGTACACCAAGATGTATGCTTTTCCCGTTTCAGGCCTATTTATATAAATTAAAAAAAAAAAGAGGCCTGAAACAGCAGTCTTGTCTTTGTCATCTTAGTTATTTCTGGTGTTCACTTACATTAAGGTAAAATTAAATTTACCTTGAATTAAATAAAGACAAATGTAAGTTACACCCCCCCCAAAAAACAAACAAACAAAAAAACCTAACGTACTTAAGGTAAAGCTTAAAACAGACTGAAGCACAAAGCCACAAGTACATCAGTTTGTTTGATTATTTAATATCTAGAAGATTAAATATTTATTAGGTGATTTTTTTTAACTATTGCTTGACATGATGAGTGACTGTTGAAGTAAATGTCTAAATACATAATTACATGTAAAACTTATTTTGGCATTCTACAGTATTACAGCAATACTGAATATTTCAAAGTAAAGTTAAAGGCGTAATAAGTGGCATGTTTGTACAGATGTCATTTATCTTAGGGCTCTTTTCTCCCTTTCTGTCCTACTTTGGACGAATGAAAAAAAAAGTTAAATACATTTCCAAGGTAAAAAGACGAAGTCTAAAGTAAAAAAAAAAAAAAACTTAGTCAGCTTTACATTAGCATCATCTGACAGTTTGCACCAGTTTAGGCTGCGATTCCCAGCAATGAAGTGCAACTGTTAGTCAAGCACATCAGAGAAGCCACACAAGTCTGGGACTTGTGCATTTTGATGGCTCAGCTTGCTACAGTATATATCATGAACTCGTAACATCATGAGCTCGACGATAACTGATGACCTCGTGTCACAGTGCTCCCTCCTTCTCTGCCCATTACCCGTCTTTTACCAGACTACATTGTGAAGCAATAAAATAAGGACAAATACTAAAGTACACTTTAGTTTGGAGAATGTTAACCACACAAATGATTTTAAAAAGTAGGTCATATATAGCCAAATGAGTATTATCCAAAATGAAAATCCCGACTGACTTTAACACCTTAACAATGGCCTTAAAAAAAAAAAAAATTAAAAAAAAGGGAACTTTTGCCGCCACATGTCCACAGTGAGCATATCTGCTAGTAGACCCTTTAACATTGGCAGTTCTATCACATTAAATCAGAGAAGATACACCAGAATGTCAGACATCAACCAGCCAGAAACAGAATGATAGAACAATACTTTGGTCCATTATGTGGCAGGATTGTTGAAGAAAATCAAGATTTTGCTCCAAACATAACATCCCAGTGCACTTCAAGCTGAGTAACACCCTCAGACCAAAACTGGTTCATCCCTAGGACAACACACACACACACACACACACACACTAAACAGCATAGTGTATGCAGTGCAGTCAGGAATACTTGGACCTTTAAACAGGACAAACCAAACAACCACCTTACAAATGTTTAACACAACATAGGAGAGCCAGCTCAAGACTCAGCTGTACACTTGTACCTAAAGGAGAAGGACACCAGGGTTCACATTTTCATCCAAGACGGACGGTTTGACAGGGGAGTGAAAGAGGCCACCTAGGTCCACTTTGATTTGTTCATTGTTGAACACCAGCTATCACGACCTACAACACAGTCTCAACAGTCCTTCCCAGGCATTACAATCCCCACTCACACTTTGCCTCAGGTGACCTCAATAGCTCACATGATGGTGGGGTGGGAGATATGATATAAGAAATTTCATACCATGCCCCCAGTGACAGAATGACCCATGCCCTTTTATTTTTTTTAACACTACTGATCATGCGAGATTCCACATGATCAACGTTGGGTCAAGGACCATCTCCAAAGAGACAACCCCAACTAAGGGTTCAATACCTGGGACTGTCAGTCATTTTGGAAGTAAAGAAGCCTCTTGGATAAACTTAAAGCCCAGTTATGTTCTTTTCAAGCATTCAAGACAACCATGATCTGGATGACAGAGAACCTGCAGAAACATGAAATCTAAACTGCCATTAGGCCCTTCACAGCCACAGAAGTCATCAGCACTGAAACTCTTGCAACATTGCTTAAACTAAAACATCAGATTAGCTGCTAATATAGTTGTACGCTAACACAGCATTTAAAAAAACAAAACAAAAAACCAAACAAACAAAAAACAACAAAAAGAAAATGCTTGTTCCTTTGTTTTGCAAATACTGTGGTAGCATTAAAGATGCAATTGTTTTTGTCATGGCAAACTCATTAAATATTGCTTCACATGCAATGTGGCATCTAAAACCTGTTTACATTAACACCCTGAGAATTTAGGATGCTTTTTTATAATGAAGTCTGACAAAGATGCCAAATTAAAATGTAGTAATTTACAGGATTAATGGTGTGCAGCAAAATGTGGTGGGTTCCACATCAGGAAGCATGACTGTTCATCTGATGTAGTATCATGATGGACAAGAGCTGAACTGCATCTGGGGCACCCTGCAGTGTTCTGACAGAAAAGCTAGCTTGTGGGGTTGACCAGTATAAGCACAGAGCAATCCAGTAGTCTTTTTGTACTGCTACCCTTCACCCATTGTGTCTTATTTAACAGGTCTCGTTGACATGGACCTATTAAGGCTTTAATTAGACTGGGTGGTTAATCCAATCAAAAGCATACTGAGCAAAACACATAAATGATCTGCAAATTTAAACCTTGTGGGCACGCATGCTCAAAATTTTGCTCTGCCAATAGATGGTCAACATTTGTGTTTTAGCTAGGCTACAATACAAACCGACACTACAAATGCTGAAGAATCGGTTAGGTTGTGTGTCCAGCTTTAACTCGTAGACTCTTTTTGGTCAATTTACTGCCTGTCAAGCTGCAGAGATCATCTTATTACCAACAAAGCTAACACAAGGTCTAGTAGCAGGTGTGAACTGAGTGTCCCTTTTTTATGCTTACTTACCTTTGCTCACCCTTAAAAAAAAAAAGTTTCCTTTAAGGGTCGCATTTAAATCAAGCTGATATTTTAGATCTGAAAGACCTAAAAATTACAGAAGGTATATTTGTTTTGTCCTTCTCCTTTCCAAAAGTCATCACAACTTCCTCCCTAATGCAAGTAGTGACATGTCATACAATATCCACCCTCAATAGTGATATGTTCAAAACAAATTGACCCCCTCCCCCAAGGGTCCGCCGCAAATTCTTAGAAGTCAAAACCCTGTGAATGGATATACGAGGAGGGTACAGATGAGAGCTTTGCAGGAAACAAAAAACACTCTTATATAATGAAAGAGACCCAGCCCACCTAAATTTCACTCACACAACCACATGTTGAGTCTTACACATATTCATTTCTTCATTAACCAAGTTTTGGTGTGCTTTTCTTTGAGTCACATTATCTTATGTTTGGGCAACACACCCACAAACTGGCATGTGATGTAAAGCTTCTGTTAGTTTGGCAAATTTGAGGCCTGCATGCATGCTTAGTGCTAGAAATGAGCACTGTTCAGCATGCTGCAAAGTCCCAGTTTAATACAACTGAAAAAGAAAAAGTGTTAAAGAACAAACATATATTACTTAATGATCAATTAGGACAGGCTGGTTCTGATTGATGTTGGTGCTCGTTAATCCTTTAACCACTGCAAGCAGTTTACCCCACCTTACAGGTTTGCCTCACTGCATACTCTAAAACCAGCCAATGGGCTGTGCTACAGCAGGTTTGGGGAGTTAGCATTGCAGAATGACAGTCTGACAGCAACATGCCAAAAACCCAGCACCGTATTGCATTTTTGGCCTTATGCAAGAGCAAAGTCACTGTTGACAATGTTTCCCAAAACAACATCCCAGAAAGTTTTGCAGGGAGGAAGCAGGGTCTCAACCGTCCAAACAGAGGCCTTGTCTGTAAAGCAGCAAGCACATAAGATCTGTAAAAATGTGTCAAACTCACCTAGAAGTAGTAGTCTGTGTGTTGCTCTGTAGATCTGTTTGTCCTTTTGGAGCTGCTTCTCTATCTTTTTGTTTGCTTCTCTTTGAGCCTTCTCCTCATTTCTCTGGTCTTCGGTCTTACTGTTGCCCAAACAACCCATCTTCCCGCAAGAAAAAAGAAAAAAGGGGGTCCAGGGGAGGAGGAAGAGGTGGTGGAAGAAGAAGTAGAGGAGGTGGTAGTGGAGGGGGAAGGGAAGGTGGGGGGGTAATGTAGAAAGAAAAATAAATCAGATAAACTAGTCTAGATGCCTCGTTTGACCCGCGGATTTGGCAGCAACGTTACCCACATTTACACCGTTTAAGGTCCGTGGCGCCCCTGTGTAGAGATTTAAAGTCCGTAACGCGTATTTTGCTGTCAGAGAAAGGGCAGGATACTGTTGCTGACGACACGGAGGCCGCCTTCTCAGTTTGCTGAATCCGGCTCGGGCTTTTCCCTTTTATATGCAGTAGTTTGTGTTTCGTTTTTCCAAACTCTTCCCCCCCGCCCCCTTCAGCCGTGTAAGATAAAGACTTGTAATCCACAATGTCCACTATAAGACCCAAAAACGGCGGTTCACCTCAAACGGAGGCAGAAAAAAACAGCCTAATTTGCATCTCCAAAAGCCCGGGTCTTGCGTCTCACAGCTGCCCGTGACAAGGAGCCGAACTCGGCGTGTCCGCAAAGCTCGCCTGTGCTGTAGCGCCGCTCGTTACCACGTCGCTTTTCATGACAAACATTTCCATGGGTGTATACTTAGACTCTATATCTATTTTTCTGTCTCCCCGACGGCTGTCTTCATCGGGGACCCAGCAGGACAGCTGTAAGGAAAATAATATTTACACCCAAACGAGCTACATGTGTGGCATTCTCGCTTCTTCCGTCGTCACCCGGCTCTTTTTCATTCTCTGCATCAAATCAGCCCCAAACTCACTGCGGTTGTCTTTTCGTCTTGATCCCTCGCCACCTCCAAATCCGAAATGATCCAGTATCCCCCCTCCGATTTGTCCTCCTTATATGTGATGGCTGTTCCTTGCTGTTTTCTCCTCCAAAGGGCCTTCTCTCTCTCTGCCCCTCGCTTTTGTTGCTGAAATGTTTTATCAGCCCCTCACATCACCACCAAGCCTCCAAAACTGCGCACCGATAGACTTTTTCTCTTAATTTCTGGCTCGACTCCGATGAATCCCTTCAAAAGAGAGAGGGGGGAAATAATTACAAAAAAAAAAAAAATAGGAGGGGGACAAAATAACAGAAAAAAACGTGACCAAAGACGTGAAAATCCCTCGAAATGTATCCACGTTTCTTGCAGGTGAAAAAGCTACACCCGCTGTCAGGCTCGGCTTTTATAACCTACATACGGCCTATACATGTGCACACACGCTGTCATACAAACATACATTTATATACACATATGTAGATTCCTCTTGAATCCTAGGTGGGTAAACAGGCTACAGACTTGACACTACATGTGCATTTACATTCACAAAAAGTAGGACGCGGGGCTGTTGTAGCAGCACATTCCCACCGTGAAGGCCGCTCCCCTCCTGGCCGCTGGTCGAGGAAGGTGAAAGACGGGAATACCCGATTCTTGGAGGTTATTATTTTCTCCCTTTCTCTCTTGCTTTCTCTCTCCGAGAATAGTAGCCTACATTGAACAGATAGACAGCGCTTTTAGAGAGACGGGGTGGGGCCACACAACGCTCATTGAACCCTGGGAAGGAAGGACCGAGAGAGGAGGAGGAGGAGGAGGAGAGGCCGCTTCGCCTGGTCACGTGATCCGGGTGCGGAGCCGCGTTAGCGGCGTGGCTGTGCGGAGAGAGAAAAAGGCGCCCTCTTCAAGGAAAAAAGACCTGAGGTGGTTTGTATGCAGGAATAACAGCACAAGACCCCTCTGAGCAGGGCTACTCAAATCTTAGAAGACCACTAGATATGTTCTGTTACAGACATTTATTCACGGAAAAGTACAAGCACATCAGCAGCGGATTATACTGAGTTATACTATTAGGAAGACTGGTGCATTAAGTTACTTTCAAGACATAGGCTTAACACTATTATACCCATTTCTTAAAATCTGCTAAAATAGTTTTCCATAACTCACGATTTAAATAATCATTCTTTATCTTGTGAAATAAGCTGCCCTCACTTTAAGCTAATTCTGACTGGCTTTCTCTTGTAAAGCACGTGAGTGCAACAGGCGCATTCAGAATTTTTTTTCATAGGGGTGGCCATATGGGGGCCACTAAAAATATTGGGGTGGCACACCAAAAACAGAAGAGTGCCGGGCGCAGTGGTGGGGGGAGGGTGACATCGTAAGGGACATACAAATGACAAAAATAATGCTCCAGCTCACTGTAGGGCACAGGTGTCGAACTCCAGGCCTTGAGGGCCGGTGTCCTGCAGGTTTTAGATGTGCCCTTGAGCCAACACAGCTGTTTTAAATGGCTAAATGACCTCCTCAACATGGCTTGAAGTTCTCCAGAAGCCTGATAATGAACTAATCATTTGATTCAGGTGTGTTGGCCCAGGGTGATATCTAAAACCTGCAGAAGACCAGCCCATGAGGCCTGGAATTCGACACCCCTGCTGTAAGGTGTCTTCCTCTCTCTTGCGCTCACATTTATTAAAATTATTACCAACACAGGACCCACCCTAGGGGGGGGTAACAAATCTTGGGGGGTGGCCAGTGCTGCCCCCTGGCTCCCCATTGGCACACAGCTGTCTGCCTGAGATGACTATATTAAAGATATCTGTTCTTACTGACATCATATAAAGCCACAAGCAGAAGAAAACTGCGACTGCTTTTGACTTTGCACACACAATGACCTATTTTTTTTGAAACTGAGTATTTATTGTTTTAATAGTACTACACGTCAGAGAAAATAAGGGTCTCCTTTAATAACGCAGGTGGTGGAACTGTTTGACTACTTAGTGTCACTCCATAAATTCATGAGAAAAATAAAACAGCCACGTGCAATATTTTTTTTCCTATAAAATATTGTGAAATATAAGTATCAAGTGGCATACCATGCAAATCTTTAGTGAGGGATGAGGAGTCCCATAGTGTCCTCCAGATAAAAAAAACTAAAATCCACGTTTTTTTTTATTTAGAAATCGAAGATAATAAAGCCACAGATAAAAGTCACCTGTGGCAGAAGCTGTATTTTCAAACACAAATGAGTAGAGCCAGCTGTGCTGACATTAGCACTCTCTACTCCTAAAAGCTCTGACTGATACATACCAAAGTGTTCAGCTTCCTCTAGATATCCATTATTTATTGTATAACCTGTAACCAAACCTACACATGTATTCACTTCATATAATATCCCGATCGAGTCCTGGGCGGAGTCTTTATCCCTTCTCCATCTAGATCTAGAGATATCAAATAAAATGTGCTATAGCCTGTGATAGTGGATGTAATCTATCAGTTCTCTGCCATTGGAGCAACACGGCTCTCCTTTACCAATATTAAACACAATACTAAAATACCACAAGTCACAGCCAGCTAATCTAAAGGCTAAAAGACTTGGTTAAAGCATGGCTTTGAACTTTTATGTCCTGGTGAACTTTGAAAAGTTAATGTACATGCTTCAAAACAAATGTCCAGAATCCAAACTGCAGTTAGGACTTTTAGACACTGGGTGGCAGCAGTTTTCAAAATCAGCAGGCAGGTTTGGGTTTAAGTCAATTGCTTCTGAGTTATCCCCATGACATTCATACACATTTGACTGTAGAGCACACCACACCAAATCAATTAACAATATTTACAACATTTTTGAGTTTTGGATTGTTAATTGCTGTTCATTTTGTATTCTCTGTTTGCTTTTGTTCCTTGAGTTTTGCTTTGAACCCTCATTTTAGAGTTCAGATTTTCTTTACCTCTTACTTTGCATTATTTATTTTTGTTACTTTATTCTAGTGCAGTCTAGGCTCCCTAGTTACATCTTGAACCTTTTTAAGTGTTTGTCTCTATTCTGTTCCCTTTCATCTACTTCCTGTTTTACTTCCAAGTCACAATTTTATTGTACACATTTTTAAAAAACTGCTATTTTTTGAGTAAGTGAATCATATTAAACATACTGAAAAATATCTAAGCCGTTTTCACTGGCTTCCTTCTTTCTACTGATTTAAAACTAGAACCATGAAACTTTACCAAGATGTACTCCATGACCATGTGGTAGCCTTTGGTAGTGAGTCCGTTGCAGACTGGGAGCTCTTTAAAAATATTTTGTCAAATTCCCTGAGTCTACCATCTGTTCAAGTACAATACAAAAAAAAAAAAGCCGCGCCACACCTTTTTGTTTTGACAACCATCTCTTTGAATATGCTAAAAGTCTAAAAGATGTGAAATCAAGTTGTGACTTCAAACTTGAAATCAATCACAATCTCCTGTTAACTGTGTCCCCATTCATTTGAGTCACTAACTGCAAACTAATAGTATATATACCACATGTTGTTAGTGTTTAGTGTTAAAACTGGGGTAGGCATATTGCTTTGCATGTCACTGGACAAAGAACTCACAATAACTTTTGTCATATTGTAATACAAATAGTCTAAAAGAGAACTAGACTCCTCCACCTTTTCTCTGTCCAGTTTTTCACACCATATCATGCGGGGAATATAAACTAGAATAAAGGCAGGATCTGCATGGTCCTATAGGTCCATTAGTCCTTGGACAAATGCACAGTTTCTTGTAGTTTTTTCTCCCTGCACCACCACCCTGATTTTAGATCAAACAATCAAGATATGATCTAACTACAGCGTTTCAATTTTAATTCAAGGGATTGAACAAAAGCATTGAGCTAACTTTTAAGGTGCTAAAGTCTTTTTATACATAGTCACCAATTTTCAGAGGCTCAATACTATTTGGACAGTTGACTGACAAGCAACTGGTTGATAAAACATCTGGAAATGATACAGATTCAAACTTGTATTTGTTAGTTGTTCACTGGAATTCTCAATATTTGACTTACAAAGAGATGTCAGTGCAAGTGCCCATCCTCATGTGGGCTGAAACAAGTAAACCTATCAGAGAGACAGCAAAAACCTTCAGGAATAACCAAATCATGATCTAGTACATTATTTAAAAGAAGGAAGCCAAGCAAAGTATAGAGAAGGAAAGAAATAGCCCCTGATGCTAAGCATGTGACCAAACATGGTGGAGGTAATGTTGAATGGAACCAGGTCACTAGTATGTATTGATGGTGTGACTGCAGATAGAGGTAGCAAGATGAATTATGTAATTAAGTGTACAGGGTTACACTTTCTACTCAGATTCAGCCACAAAACTGGCCAGAGAGCGCTTCACAATGGAAATGGATAATGATCCAAAAAGCATACTGTACAAGCAACACAAGAGCCTCTCAAAACAAACAAATAACAAAAAATGGGCTGGTCTTTAATAGCCAAGTCAGTCACCTGATTTCAAGCAAAAAGACAAAACTGAAGCAGACAGACCTACAAACAAAGGCCTAGTCTGTCAAAATCAGCATTTGGTGATGTCCATAGTTTCTAAACTTCAGGTAGTCATTGACTGGAATAGATTTTCATCCAAATTCTTATATTTAAAATGAATGTAGCTTGTTTACTTAATTTTGACCCTCTGATAATATGTGACTATGTATAAAAATGACTATAGCTGCTAACCAGTTAATACACCATATCTTTTAAATCCCCTTGAATTAAAGCTGAAAGTCCACACTTCAACCAGATCCTGATTCCTTTATTTAAAATCCACAGTCATACTGTACTGAAGCAAAAGTACAAACACTGCTTCACTGTCCAAAAACCGAAATGTCTCTGTATAATGCAGCCTTAATATCAAGGCAGGTGTGGGTTTATTTGTATTTTTAAGGCGGTAGAGTGAAGTGCATCAGTGATGTATGCTGGCAAATGATCTGTAAATGTTAGAGGAACTGAAGTGAGACTGTTCCCGGCAACAGATCAATATTGGCTCAACACCCATCGAAACCAGGGTGCTAAACTCAGAGAGTAAAACTCACTTTGAGTCAGAGTGCCATTTCTACCGATTTCTGTGCACGTCCTCTTGCGCACATGCTGAGCATGAATTATTATTCTGATCTTAAAACTAAAACCTAAGAAAGGTGAGAACATCTCAAATATATTTTCCTATCTCTTAAACAGCTAAAGACACATGCACACTCACATGCACTCACATCCCCACCCATGAACCTTCTAGGGCATGTCCGATGGCATCTCTTTCTAACTGCACTGTCATGAAATGTTAGCTGCACACTCAGCACTCATTGTCATCATGATCAATTTAGATTTACTGCTGAGGAGTAATTCAACCTTTTTTTTCTTTCTTTCTTTCTTTTTTCTTTTTTTTTTACACTGTGTGCTTATCTGCACACATCTAAATATCTATAAACATACACAAAAGAGATTTATTACTATAGCTTGGTGTTGTAATGTAACGACAATTTAAAAGTTAGATGTTAAGCATTAACTGTAAGCATTGTCAAAAATCCCTCCACCATTCTCCTGTCTGGCTGCAAGAGATCCCACTACCACATTGTTAACAAAACACTTCATTTTATACAGCTGATATTTTCATTATTGGTTATTGCTTAGTCCATAAATTTTTTAAAAAAAAGGTCCAATACAATTTCCTAGAGAGGTGGCATCTCTTTTGTCTGAACACTCAAATGCCCTTATTTGAATCTTTACCATGTAAAATAAAGAAAAGGAAAGTTTAAAGTTTGCTTGAAAAAACAACTTGAGTGATTATTTAAAGACCAAAATGTGACCTCTATTCACAAATATCATTTCTGCTGCTTTGCTTTACACGGAGAAAATAAGATTCACACTCAGTACCCCGCTAAAACTCAGAGGATGCTGTATGAATTTGATTAAAATATCACACATAGATTGACCTGCTATACAAAGTGTTGATTCCTTGCAATATATAAACAAGAAGAAAACTGTGACATTTTAGGACAACAACTACTACTTTTAATGTTTTAAGTTATCTTTTTTTTATTTAAGAAGCTGGTATTTCTTTTTTTCCTGTTCTTATACACAGCAAATTCCTGCATTCCTGCAAATCCTTAAACTTTACAATACTGCAATTTAAATTAAATGAACATAATTTTACACTACATAATGCATAAACGCTGTTGCTTCCTCAAACCTGTGCCACGGTTAATTAAATGCTAATAAAGTGCTTTTCCAGTCTCACTCTACTAATAGTCCTGGAAGAGGCTATTTTAACACATTTACATTATTTATGTTGCCAAAACTATCATTTGAAACACAAAAAGATCATACTGGATTTTTCTCCCCCAGCCTTTCTCTTATATTTAGAACAAAGTTAATGTTATTGCATTGTAAGTCCTTGCATTGATCATCCCTCTGTAGTCACACCAGCTCTTTAATGGCCTCACATCCATGAATATTAGATACACTTCCCTTCACCCCTCAGTGCAAATATGATGAGCCAGCCTGACGCGGCTTTAAGGAAACAAACAACGAGATATGAGAGTATCTGTATGGGTTTCACATATATCAGATAGAGAAGATTCTGGGATACACTAGTTCGAATACAATGCAAGAATGAAGGCATGGATGCAACTTGCACATGCAGAAACTTATAATACTCCCCAATGACATCTTTCAGCAGAGTCACACAAAAATCACTGCTGCACTTTGGTGTTCGTCTGCTTTTGTGTAATTCTGCAAGCGTGTTTTACAGTGAAGCAACGATAGTGGATATTCTCCTGAGTGAGATTAGCTACAATATGAGGATAGTAACAGAGATGCTGGGTTACAACCCATTATGTCTGGGAGAGAGACAGAGAGAGAGAAAGGGAAAGAAGAGGGAGGTGAGGAGGAGGCGGAAAGGAGGGTGTGACAGAAACACAAGCGAAGAGCAAAGGGAGTCATTATCCGCACACAATATTTGAATCTGCTGTGTTTTTTAATCGCACTGCTTCTCGTCCTCGTGTTATTTTTTTCTTTGCTGTACTATAAGATACTTTGATTGAGGCAACATGAGTTCTCTTCTGACAAATATGTGAGCGGGCTGGAATTTCCCTCCACATAACTAAGTCACTTACTTATTTATGCGGACATCCAGCGAGTGAGAGCATCTGAAGGAACAGTTTGGGTGTCTCTGACACACGGAGGAGGACATGGCGGGGGACCTTGTGGTTGGGATGCTGTATAACTTGTTACTACCCCTGCTCCTGCTCACTGGTGAGTTGATGTCTGTATGTTTATTTAATTTTTATTTATTTTTACTGCTGGTGTTGGTGGTTTTGTCCGGAGATAGTGGGGTTTATAGGGATATGTAATAGACGCGGTTTCAGATTTTTGGGTGTAAAAGTTTACATGGCAAGAATCTTCAGGTGTTTACTAAAGGTTGCATATCTGTTAACACAGCATAAGTTGGGTAAAAGCTACTGGTGAACCCTTGTTGCAGCATATTATCGAGACACAAAAACAATTTGTGAGAAGCAATGTGCTGCCAGATTAAACCTGAGGTAGACCGTGCTGATGAAAAACAGTTACTCCTATCTGAGCAGTATTTCTGTACCCACCATCGTGTAAACTGTTTAAGTGAAACATGCACATAACGGCCCTATGTGCTACAGGGTAAGGTTAACACTTAACCTGTGCTTGCTGCTTAGGAGCATTTTGATTATCATTTGTTGGTATTTCTGCTGGCATAAATGTTCTCATTTTGCTGTTATAATGTTGTTTAAAATGAATGTATCATATTTGAGGTTAGGTATGAGGTAGTCAGTATTAAGCAATATTCTTTAAGATTCTAACAAATCATCCAGCAGCAGTACCAAAATATTAGCTGAATTGTAGGGCTTTTTTAAATTAGTCAACTAAATTAATATTTATTCCTGTTCCAAAATATTTTAGGTCTACTTGTTGAACTCAGGTCTTTTCCAGCATAGAGCAAACCAATCGAAAACCATCAGCATCTTTAACCAGCTTTGTTAACTAAGGTTTCCTTGCTAAAACAAATATAATGGCTTATATTAATGGTAATAACAGCTTACCAGGGATTTTTCCTACACATAAGAAATCACCCCGGAAGTGTGTAACCTTTTTTTTAAAAACAACTTTAGGTTGGGGTTAATTTAATTATGCATAAAGTGCACCTTTGCTTATCAAATGGGCAAGAATAACAGGAAAATGATAGGGCTTCTGTTAAGTAGTATACACTCAGTGCTGTTACTATAAGCAGAGTAGTCATACTGATGTGGATAGACAACCCAGAACAACCCTTTCAGCCAGGTTTTATAAATTGTTATACTATAAAAAAAAAATCAAAGGTATACTAGACACAGTTTATTCTTTTAGCCTTTGTTTCATTATGTGTGTTTTACTGTTGTGATGTGTACCTGCTACCTTAGATGAAACATTACGAGTATTTTAGAGTTTACATAATAATTAACATTAAAAAGAAGCATGCTGTGCCTTATAAAAAATACTCTTTTTCTTTGAATTTCTCTCAGACCCATTGTGTTTTTTCCCCTCTGCTTCTCAGCTTCATCTTTCCGCTATAATGGTCTGTCACTGGTATATTTCCTGTTTTTGCTCATCTTACCGCTGCTGCCGAACCCGAGTCTGGTCACCATGAAAGGTGAGAGGGGCTCCAGAGGCTAATGATGTCATCTGGCATGTTGTTGCTCTGAATCATAATGTAAAGGTCTTGGTTCAAACTTGATTCAAATCTAAACAACATCAGTGATTCAGTCTTTTTTGCCTGAACTTTAAGCTTATAAGATTATCCCAGCATGTACCAGGTAATTGTAGAAAAACAATGTTCATTTCCTACAATCGTGGGTTAGAGAAAATGCTTTCACTTTAAGAAACATTTCTTGTGATGTGTTGTATAAAATTTGCGGTTCCACATATTTGTACACCAAATGCTCTGTGGCATTCAAACCTAATATTGATCTGGCATCTTATTTTAACAATTAAAATGTTTGGTTAAAACTGATAAAAATTAAGATACATTTTTAGAAATTTAGAATTAGCTTCATGACCCTGACGTCATTCACTCACCTTCTTTCTTGTGGCTTCTTTTAATTTTGGCATGTTGAGGCCGTTTAGTCAGTTCATGCTTCTGTTCAGTTCAGGCGATGATTCGATGGAACAGGACATCCACAGTTATACAGTCTCTGTGTGACAAATCATACTCCAAACAATTAGCAGTGCTTTGAGGTTTGGGCAAATACTTTTTTGTTTTCGCAAGGTCAGGCTGGTATTACTTGATCATTATATATAAATTCATATAACTAGGAATTTATATATTTGCTTATTTTAGTTTAGTCTCTATCTTAACTGCTTTTTGCATTGTTTTTTATGCCATTTAATTTTTTTTAATTTATTTTACGCTAATTTATGTACAGTTTTGTGATGTCACTTACCTACTTATCATTTCAAACTTGTATTTTGTGTTTTCGCTGGTTGCCTTTCCCTTTTTTTTAAACTTAGTTTAAAGAGCAGACACAGTTTCACATGACGTATGTGCAAAAGTAGGAGAAATCAAGTAATCTGATGTGAAGTAAAAGAAATGTAAAGACCAGCGCAAGTAAATCAACCTGTGTGCGATGTATATATGTCTACAGCATGTGTGTGTGTCTGCCTTCTCTGTATTGATCACAGCATTCTGATGAATTAAAGTATATGTATCCCTCCCTCAAAGTACTTTGTAAAGGGGAAGTGGTTTGAATGGTCAAATCAATTATACATAGCCTGGTAATTACAGCAAGGAATTAAAAGATGTAATGTCAGCATTTTCACAGCATTTCTTCTTTCGCTCTTTTTCTATGCCTCCATATAAAAACTGTTTACCCTTCAGCTTCATAAATCCCCCTGCTATAATCTTACTGCGCTTGGACTAAGTGGTGAAGCCTGTGTACATCGTGTGTGTACGGCTCATGCGTTTCTGTGCACCCACCTATGCTGGAGAGAGTGTGTACGTGTGTGTTTTATGAAACAATGCTTTTAGTAAAAAGCGTGAACATCGACAACGCATTTGCTGGCTCAGCTAATGCTAAGCCACGTCAGCTATTAATGCTTTGTATCTCCAACCTTTTGATTACAAGAACTCTAGCCCTGAGACTATGAACTGTTTTATTTATTTGAATATACAGCCAAAATCGCAACACAGCAACTCACTTTTAGACTGTCATTAATATCTTTAATGACAGTCTAAAAGATAATAAATTCGGAACTTGTGCAAATAATGTTGTGACACGAATGTGATTTCAAAAATAGTGCCACAAAGCGATTTCATTGGATAAATAGCTGTACTAGACCAGTTGTGACAGAGCCAGGCGTTTCTTTGAGACTTGAGTGTCCAGTTTCTTTTAAAGAAAGTGAAGTATGGACAGAACCAGTCCAATTTACTGCCAAGTGTCTGGGAGACAATATTCTGCTGAACAATGTCTGAAGAGAACCACAGGATGCATCCATTACTGTGTGTTTTTGTGTATATGTGTCCCAGAACTCAGAGAGTAACATGCCGGCTTTATTTAAGGGGAATAAAAATGATTATTGAGTTGAACAGGAGACAACAAAACACGTGGTGTACAGCAAAGATAAAAGCAACTTCTATTTTTATTGAAACCTACTTTTCTCTGCAACTACACCTGTGGAATTAATCCTACTTAATTTCAGATACAATTCTGGCTTCCAACAATTATAGAACAATATAATAGATTTAAAAAACTATTGCATAATATTCTGTTTTGCAACAGTTTGCTTGCTTTGCCTTTCAGGACATCTCTTTCTTTGACTTTTGTTTCTCTATAAATTTTATACCAGGGTGTCACAAATTTTGTCCTGCTCACATTTTATTTACATATTCATCTTTTATATTTGAATTATGGTTAAAGTTTGAAGAAAGTTGAATTGACTCAGTATTTTCAGTCTATGAGTAATTGTGTTAGTTATTTGTGATTTCATAAAAGATAAAAATAATAGATTTTGTCCTAATTTCATAAAGTTTTCTTGGTAACATTTAGAGGGAGAGAAATTGCTAATTATTAAAGATTAAAACATCAAAGTCACACCTCGGGACCTTTTCTATCAACATATATAGTGAAATACATCATTTGTTTCCTCGAGAGACAAATTTTGTATTTTTCCCTCTGTAATTCACCACAATGGATTTTAAATCAAACAATCACGATGCGATTGAAGATTTTCACCTTCAATTCAAAGGGTTGGAAAAAACGTGTATAGTTGTATCATTGTTGAGGTCCGCAATAAAGAGACACCTTCATAAATGGAAATACAAAGAATTTACAAAAAGATGCAAACCACAGGTTACAATGAAGAATAAGAGGGCAATGTTGCAAGAAAACATCTAAAACAGCCTGAACAGCTCTGGGGAAACAAAATCCTCGGACAGATGAAGCCAAGATTAACTTGTACCAGAATGATGGGGAGAGTAATACGTGGAGCAGAAGACAAACTGCTCCAGCATACCACATTACAGTGGCTTGCAAAAGTATTTGCCCCCCTTGAACTTTTCCACATTTTGTCACATTACAGCCACAAACATGAATCAATTTTATTGGAATTCCACGTGAAAGACCAAAACAAAGTGGTGCACACGTGAGAAGAGGAACAAAAATCATACATGATTCCAAACATTTTTTACAAATAAATAACTGCAAAGTGGGGTGTGCGTAATTATTCAGGCCCCTGAGTCAATACTTTGTAGAACCACCTTTTGCTGCAATTACAGCTGCCAGTCTTTTAGGGTATGTCTCTACCAGCTTTACACATTTACAGACTGAAATCCTTGCCCATTCTTCTTTGCAAAACAGCTGCAGCTCAGTCACATTAGATGAACAGCATTTGTGAACAGCAGTTTTCAGATCTTGCCACAGATTCTCAATTGGATTTAGATCTGGACTTTGACTGGGCCATTCTAACACATGGATATGTTTTGTTTTAAACCATTGCATTGTTGCCCTGGCTTTATGTTTAGGGTCATTGTCCTGCTGGAAGGTGAACCTCCGCCCCAGTTTCAAGTCTTTTGCAGACTCCAAGAGGTTTTCTTCCAAGATTGCCGTGCATTTGGCTCCATCCATCTTCCCATCAACTCTGACCAGCTTCCCTGTCCCTGCTAAAGAGAAGCACCCCCAGAGTATGATGCTGCCACCACCATATCTGACAGTGGGGATGGTGTGTTCAGAGTGATGTGCAGTGTTAGTTTTCCGCCACACATAGCGTTTTGCATTTTGGCCAAAAAGTTCCATTTTGGTCTCATCTGACCAGAGCACCTTCTTCCACATGTTTGCTGTGTCCCCCACATGGCTTGTGGTTGTGTACACAGGTGTTAAACTACAAACTATGTGATGGTCAAATAAATTATGGGCGTAACTGTTTGCACTACGGTAAACCATAAACCATTTCTAGCTCATTACACAGAACAAAAGACTTTGTTCTGAATTCTGTAATTGCACTTACTTTTGCTTCCTGCTTGCTACTGGTCTTAGGTCAAACTGGGCAGTTCCTGCGGCTGATCATCTACACGAGTTTGATGTTCCTGACCCTGCAGTGCTTCTTGCAGATCCCCTTCGCATACATTCCTCCACAAGGTGAAAACAAAACTCTGGTCACAATAAATGAGCAATTTTTATAATATAATGTCACCAATCCTCCGAGCAGACCTCAAAGACAGCCAAAAAAATAATTTGACTATAAAACAGTGCAAAGAAATACCCAATTAAAACAGGAATAATGCTTTTTAACTTGATGGCTGTTTGGTTTTCCCCTTTTCTAACAGTTAGTGGCTTCTGGGATGGATTTCTCTACCATTTGGGAATTGTAAGGTGGGTAGCCTGTGTTGTTTTTTTTTAAATGTGCTTATAAACAAATTGATGTATCATCTATTGGAGATCAGTGAAGATCAAATGTTAATGTATGTGTATTTTCAGATTTAGCTCGGTTGATCCTGGGAATATTGTACGTCTCCTGCTCCCAGACGTGGGCCTCTTGGTCTCTACGTTGTTCATACTGAGGCTCTGCAGGAAACTGCTACGCCCCGTGCCTCAGGTCAACCTCCATGAAAACGGAATCCCGCCCTCTGACCCTCAGGTAACCACTCGCTTGTCAACAGCTATAGTCACTATGACACAACATTACCCTTGGGGTATCAATCATAAGACCCAGGGACCAGAATCAGCCCAGCAAAGACTCCAGTCTAGTCTGCTGGAAAGTTTTGGATAATATGAAGGAGTACAAAGATTTTGAACTGTATTTTAATACATTTTACAGCTTTTTCTGTTGATAAAGATGACTCACTTTGCCATTCAGTGAGTCATCAGTCAAAAAACATTATTACAAATACGGGGCAGTCTGGGGAATGAGCAACTAGACCTTTTTCTGTAATTTTACACATTTATTGTGTGCTTCTTTTTTCTTATATTAAGACATCTCAGGGATTAAATGTTTAGCTAAATGTCTTTACAATGACAGAATGGTGAGTTTCAGTGGTCTGAACCACTTCAGATCAAAGCAGGCTGTATGTGGCCCACAATGTTCTATTGGTTTGACTTCCCTGCATTAAGCTAACAAAGCGCTGATTGTTTCATGGATCTTTCAGGATGTGGAAACCTCTGACACGGAGTCAGAGGATGGAAGTGAAATCGAGGGTTCATCCTTTGACAGCTCAGAAGAGACTACTACCCTGCCGGTACAGTCGGGTCCACCACAATTTGTCCAGAAGCTCATAGTGTTTGCAGCTGGACTGAGGCTGCTGCTGTCAGCTATCATGAACACAGCAGGGAAGGTGGTGGTGACTCTGCTGCTGGGGTTGGCAGGTACAATACAGCAGCAGCTTTGTGCATGCCAGCTTACTATAGCTTAAAAATGGTGAGTATTGCCTAAATCACCTTTTTCTTCATGGCTTGTCATCTTTTATGTGTGTACAGGTATCATACTGCCCTCCCTTACCTCAGGAGTGTACTTCGGGGTGTTCCTGGGGCTGGTGTGGTGGTGGGTGTTTGGCCGCTCCATCAGCATGCTGCTCTTCAGCTCCCTGTGTGTGATGATGGCCATTTTCAGCGGAGGACACCTGCTGGTTCTGTATCTCTATCAGCTGCCACTTTCCCAGGAGCTTATACCACCAGAAGATGTTTATCCCAGGTATAGAAATAAGAGTAGATATTTAAATTATATCAGTCTGGTTCTTCTATTTCTTTATTTAAATTCTTTTTACTAAAAATATGCCTTACGTGGCACTTTTCTCTCTCTCCCTTTACTCTTCCCATTCATCTCCAGATTGTTTGGTATGATAGGAGTCATCAGATCCGACACTTCAAACCTGCACTCTCTTAGCGTGCACACAAACGTCAGCTGGCCAGACTTCCTCAACCCGTTGGTTCTTCTACTCCTCTACTACACACTAGTGGCTTTGCTGCACAAATGGGTTCATGTCACAGAGAAGGTGCGCGTGTGTGTGTCAGACTAAATATGTTTAGAGTCAAAAGTCATATGGGATAGGTTCGAAATGACAAACATGGGTTTTTTGTTAATTAAAATGAGAAAAATACACGCTCACACACATCAGAACTCGTGCAGGTTCCTGGGCAGAAGACAAGCCAGTGACAAAACACACACACAGACAATAATGCAGACAGCTGGGTTATTTTAAGTCACACAAGATCCAGTCACATGGGTGTAAAGTCCAATGAGGTTAAAAAAAATGTTTCTGGCTGGTGGATTTTAATAAGCAACACTTGCCTTGGCTGACGAGGGGAGAAGTTGCTTTTAAACACTAGAGTTGTGCATACATTATCTGCTCTTCAGCTATTGCAGTGACTTGAGCTTAGAAAACTACTGCTTTTATCATACCAGTAACACATCTCTGCCCCAACTTCCACAACTGTGTTGCCCAAGGAAGCAGATTTCCAGGTTCTACCAGCTTATCTTGGAAGGTTGCCACTCCCAACAGTACTACAAGTAGAAGTGCAAGTTTTACTATTACTTTGAGCGCTACTCTGCCATTGCTGGTCCGCATGGTTTTCACTTACTTGGCAGACTTTTGATAGTGATTGTGCTTCTCAGGATGAAGCAGATGAGGGTGAGAGTCCAGTAGAAAGTCCAGACGCTCCTCCAAGCTTCTCCAGGGTCATCTACATCTCAGGAGATAAGCAAGAGGTAACTTCATTATTGAATTTTGCATCCAACTATCGTTCTGGTTGGTACTTATATCAGTGATCCTGAATTCATGCTGAAAGCTTAATGGCTGTTAAATAAATTATTGGACATCACATAGTTTTATTACTACAAGTTGGTATTTAAACGCCTATTAAAGTCGAGATTTCCCTTTTTAGCTTTTAAGTAGCACAGATGAGGAAACCTATCTACCTGACGAGGTGAGGATGTTTTAGCATTTTCTATTTAGTACACTGAATTCTCAATCAGATGTGGACTCACTTAAAATTTCTTAGAGATTATCCTACAGTTTTGTTGTAACACACAGCATAATTTGCTCTCTTTCTTCAGCCAATGATTTTGATCAAAGGAAACTCCTGGCAAGATCTCCACACTGACAGTCTTGGATGTCCATTAGGAGGGGCAGATTACACAAACGGTTACCCTCTACCACATTATGAGGGCAAGGACTCACTGTCTCATGGTAATCACAGAAAACTTAAATACATATTTAATTAACTAAAACTATACGGTACACAAACTTGATAAAAAAGCAGAAGCTACTTTCAGCTGCTCTCTTATTCATAAGGGGTCACTGCATATAGATTTGGCAGATTTTTTAATGACAGATGTCCTTCTTCACACAACCCCAAAAAAGATTTGTGTGTCCTCCTTGGTATGGAACCAGGGAACTTTTTGTTTGTTAGGTAAATATGTAAACCACTATGATATAGAGTCAACTTTTATTTTTCACTAAACCCTTTCATTTCATTCTTTACTTTCCCTCCCTCTTTTGCCAGACACAGAAAGCGAGGAAGATGTGGAGGAGCAGACTGAGGAGGTCCATGAGAGTCTGACAGAGACCTTGCCTCCACCTTCAGGCCCAAGTGGTCTGGTCATTTTTGGTCAGCAGGTGCAAAAGCACAGCTACGTCAGCGGCCTTATCATCATGATGGTAGAGTACAAATAATCATGCTGGTTCATAAATGTGTTCTGTGTGGTGACTTTTTTTTAGCAGCCACAACCAGTATCATCACAGTGTTGAACAGGTGAAGACATTAGGTATAGGTCACATTATATTACAAGCAAAGATAAGGAGAATTTACACATTAGCTATGAAGTTTCAACCTTTAAAGAAACTGGTTTATTTGTTTTTTGAAACCACTTTTTTATACAGTTACAATACTTTAGACAACTGCAAGACTAATTTATATATACCCAGAGTCTACAGGTATTTTCTTTATTTTCTACCAAGGTTATTATAGTTAACTGTAACTAAGATAAAAATTAAATCTAGATGTGAAAGGCATTTTAGTTAGCTAAAATAAAATGAAAAACATGACTTTTGAAAAAAATTTTTTTACTATTACTATATTACTAGATCTTAGTAGTATTGTTAGTTTTCGTACGAGTTTTATCACAAATTGACTAATTAACATCTGACCAGTTGAAGCTAAAGCAGCCATATTTGGGTGAGTAAAGATTAGCAAGCAACTTTGCATAGTTAATAGCAGGCTCACTATGTCGTTATGAAGTTAACTATAACTATTATTCACAACATTAACAATATTAGCTAACTCACCCTAAGCGGCTAAAAAAGTTGTTTTTGTTATGATATCCACTGCATACAGATTTGGAGTATCACCTACAACAACTGGCTGACTTTCGCCATGCTTGTGTGGTCCTGTATAATTTGGATGATGAGAGACAGAAGGCGGTATGCCATGATGTCCGCCCCTTTCCTCGCCATCTATGGCACCGTGCTGGTGGTGCTGGGCTTCTTGAGCGGGCTCCGGCTGAGCCGGGCCGAGTTGTACCCGGGTCTGCCCCCGGCGGTCATAGTGGACTTTGACCTGAACAGCTATCACCCTGCACCCTGTGTCCACCTGGGAGCAAAGGTTAGCCATGACAGGGTAATAAGGAGCAGGAATGGACCTGATAAACTATTGTAATTTCCTTCTGTGGTTCTCGCTTCCATTAAAAACAATAAAGCTGTATTTAGACCTACCTTAGCTTGTAGGTTATATTGTTTTTTGTGTGTGTTACCGTTCAGTCATTTAAGAAACACGAGCCTTACTGTATACAGTAACCTTATGTACTTAGTAAAAATTACTATTGTATAGTAGTTTGGCTTTTTTTTGTACACATTTATTATCTAATATAACTCTAATTCACTTTTTCTTCCTGACATTTATTTATCAGTGTGTTCATGTATTCCATCTAAAGTTTATTACCATAAGGAAATTTGTGTTTTTTTAACCAGACAGTCTGAAGTCACTGAATTCAGTTTAAATCTTTCTTAAACAAGAATTTTCCAACAGTATTCACAGGCTAGTGTACTTTGAAAACTTTTGACAGATTTTTTTAAAATAATTTTTTGTTCCCAACACAGGTCTGCTTCAGCTTAATATTTACTAAGTACACAAACTTGTGTATTTTGTGTTTATGATAAACTATTTTCACTGCAGGTCTTCTACACCTTCAGCTTTTGGTTGATGTTTCGTCAGCAGCTGAAGGAGAGACAGGAGGGGCAGAGCATGAAGGCAGAATCTCTGGATGAAGTCAAAGTCGTGCCATGTAATTTATCTTTTCATTGATTTTCTCGAGATTATATGTCAGAAGATGTTGGAGTAATGTAACTCCTACCTGGGCACTAATGAAAATCATCCTGACATCAACAAGACAAGTTTAATCATCAAGCTGTCTCTGTAATGCCCTCCCTTACCTCCTTCTCTTTCTCACTGTGTTTCTGCCTCCTTGTTTTGCACCTTGCCAGCGGAGGAAAATCAGCCATCTCCTCTGGTAGCGAAACTGATCTCAGGTGTAAAGGGGTTTCTGGTGAAGTACTGGATCCTCTTCTGCTGCTCTATGTTCTTTGTGGTCAGCTTCTCTGGAAAGGTATCTAATGACAGACTTAAACATCGTAGCATTGGCTAAGGCAGATTTTTACTAACAGAGGCCCTAAATATCACAGGAAGAAGTTTTTTAACAACTATTTTTTGCTTTGCTTCTCAATATGTTTTTTGCATTCTCATTACATGTAGTGCCCAGTGCTCACCAGATACTGGCTGTGAGCACTCTGGCTAACATGGTTATTGTAAGAACTCATCTTGCTACTGTTTCAGCCCATGGTGCTACATACGGCAACGTACAGCAGCTTTAGTAATGCTCATCTAACAGAGTTGTGAGATGAAGTCCCAGTTACATCCTGTAAAAATGAAGATGTTGTTACAGCGGCTTTCAGTAAAGGCTGCACAATCTTAATCTGCAGACATAGTCACAGAGAGTCTGTCTGTGGTCAGTGAGGGAGCGGAACCAGCGCTTCCAGTCACCTTTGTAACTGCAACTCCTCCGACTTCCCCGAACATCAATGCACTCTCACCTCGTCCTTGAATGCACTGAAAATGCACCATACTGTATCATTATAAAGCAGAGCCTTTCTCTATAAGTCGGATATAATGCAAACAAAAATGTATTGCAAAAAGAGTTTTCCAAAAATATTTTCAAACTGATCTTTAGGAGCCTCTGTATGGTCAAAAACGAATATTATTATGATTAGTAGTAGTATTAGAAGTAATAGGTTTAAAAGTAGTTTTATTGTTATTCTTGTTGTTGTTTTTTCACATGTATTTCCTTCTTCAGTACTGTTGAATATCAGCATGTGTTTTGTCTTCTGCTAGTAAAACCTTATTTACGAAAAAGAAGATGAAAATGCTCCTTCCCATAGTCCCACACGTCATTGGATCCGTCTGTTTCTATAATCTCAGTCTGAATTGTTTCTGAGCCGTGCAAATAATAAGTAAATACTATTGTTTCATTCATTGTATCATGTTTCACTCATTCAGGTGGTCGTATACAAAATCCTCTACATTGTCCTCTTCCTCTTCTGTGTTGTTCTTTACCAGGTTAGTAACTTAGTTTTCTGTCCTCTAACTTAAAGTAGACTTATATCAGAGTATAGTTACTCAGCTCACAAAATATCTATCTATCTATCTATCTATCTATCTATCTATCTATCTATCTATCTATCTATCTATCTATCTATCTATCTATCTATCTATCTATCTATCTATCTATCTATCTATCTATCTATCTATCTATCTATCTATCTATCTATCTATCTATCTATCTATCTATGATTTTGAAATGGGTCACTAAGTGGAAAGTTAATCCACTTTTATAGTTAAAATGTTGTTGTAGAACACATAAAGCCAATATATTTTAGGTTCATCTTACACTATAATGTGTTGACTCCTAAACTAACATCAGTGAACCATTCAGCTGTTGTTTGTGCGTAAAAATGTTCGGAGTGGGTGTAGATCTTCCATAAAATGTAGAAAAGCTCACAAAGGCAGACTGTTTACTCTTCATCCATACTCTTTTCCAGTTAAAAGTATTGATTATGACTAATAAGCACATACACAGCCACTTTTTTTGCTCCAGTTTTACTGTTTTTTCTTGCCCATATTATGTTTCTGCTGACCTTTTAGAAAGATGGTAGGCACTTACAGGAAGGCCTAATGGCTTTGGACATGACATGTCTATTTAGACAACATCAGCAACGCCCGGTGTTTTACATACCAAGGCGATTCGAAGGATAAATGCAACACTGTCATTTTTAATGAAGATCTAATTTGGCTGTTCTGAACTATTTTGTTTAATTTTTATATATTAAATATATATATATATATGTATATATTTATTGTCCAGGTACACCCTGGACAGACTGGCAAGGTGTACCCTGCCTCTCGCCCTATGGTGGCTGGAATAGGCTCCATCCGTCCCTTACCCTGAAAAGGATAAGGGAAAGAGGATCGATGGATGGATATTTAATTGGTAATTATAAGACTTACAGGAGAAATTATAAACTGTGTTTTTTCTCTCAGATCCGTTATGATGTGTGGCGTCGACTCCTGAAGACGTTCTGGGCAGTGGTTGTTGGTTACTCCATGGTGGTGTTGATAGCTATCTACATGTACCAGTTCAGAAGCGTGTCTGGGCTATTCAGACAAATCATGGGGATGTCAGAGGAAGGGTGAGTCTCATACAGTATTGTGCAGAAGTCTTTAGAAACTTCTTGATTCTTTATATTTTGTTAGGTAAATGGGATAATAGATGCTGCAATTTATGGAAACATGTGCAAGCACATATGTAAATACAGTGAAAGACAGTCTCTGATGTGCTGAAACACTATCCGCTCAAAACACGTGAGGGCTATAGGTTTGAGGCTGCTGTCGGGGGTTATGGGGGGGGGGGGGGGGGGGGGGGGGCCTCTGGCATTTGTAGTTGTTGAGGGCTTGGATGCCTCTTCACACCTTCTGGCAGCTGGTCTGTGAGGAAGTTCTCTTTCCTCTTCCTGTAGGCCTCCTTGGCCTGTTTGATGCCCCTCCTTAGGTTGGCTCTGGCACAGAGAGCTGTCCCTCATGCTGAAGGCGGAATTAGTAGTTTTGATCAGATCCTGTACTTCACCCATCATCCTGAGTTTTTGGTTAGAAAAAACCTGGATGGTTTTGGTCACTGTCATATTCTCTACCCAACACTTGATGTAGAAAAGGATAGATTGAGTTTTTCCATAGTTATGTGTAGACACGACACTGGTTTATACCTTGAGTTTGGTCCTTTTTATGTTTGTATGATTCTTACGTCAGTGGCTTAATAAAGAGAAAACTTTCCTCTGAAATGGTCAGGTACAAGGAGTGGACCAAAAATGAATGAAAAAGCAGGCAATGTCCAAAGAAAAACATTGAAAGACCTTGAGAAAGCCCTGAGAACTATTGCTCAAGAGCACTTTAAAACATTGCAAGAAGGCCTGACTCCTAGAAAGCAAATATAAAGAAATGAGGGGTGTAGACTCGAGTCTTTTGTCTTGTACTATATACTCGTGGTAGGTCGTGAATTGTTACTCATTAATTTATTTTTGTTAGTGTTAGGAGCCATTTTGATATGAAGCAAGAAGCTTCTTTATATCTGTTTAATTTGTCTTTGTAGCAGACTTGGCTGTTTGTTATAAGGTTGTGTGTTTTTCTCCCATGTGATTCTCCAGTCTTCGTGACCTGGGTCTGGAACGGTACAACACGGTGGAGCTGTTTGCACGCATTCTGCTTCCTGCTACGTTCCTTTTGGCTTGTATCCTCCAGCTTCATTATTTTAACTTTGACTTTCTGACTCTCACTGACCTGGACAACGTACCTGTCAGAGAGACTTCAAGGTGAGACAGCAGGAATGTATGGAGGGAAAGATCCTGCTCAGAAAAAACATTCTGTCCTTTGATATCGATATGAACAAGAACATGTGGTGCGTTATATTAAAAGAAACTTAAAGAAATGAGGCAGTCATGTATGTCAAAATAGGATAAATCTACTTAGAAAATATAAAAAATACATTATTTTTATTATATTTTAAAAGTAATTATAGGTTTCCCCCTCTCTAGATAAATGAAATAACAATTTTTGTGGCTTTTTTGTATGAGGTGCAATAAAAAAGCTCTATGACTCCTTGAAAACACCTTAACAGATTTAAATTCTTCCCTTCAGGGTTGTCTTCCTGCACACCTGAGCCATTGTTGAATTGTAGCCAGAGACCTAACTCATTACCACGAATGATACTTGATGTAAAAGTCAGGTCAGTTTGGCACAGAAGTTAATGATTGTGTTCTGCAAGATTTTGAGGTTCAAGGTGAATTCGCAGCTGCTCAAGTGCTACTCGTCATAAGAGGATGTTAAAATTGTAGCATCACTGGGTACAGTCAGAAGATGCACAACAAAACAACTTTGAAGGGGAGTTTTTAGGTTTTTTGTTAAGGGAAATTTTAATAAGTCGTATGAAATGTTTACGTTTTGATTGCCTACTGACTATACTACATACTATGTGTCTCGTTTGTCCTTTTCTTCGTACAGAGAGGAAGAGCTCATGAATTCAGTCAATGAGATATCTGACACGTAAGTGTAGCAATTATCCTATTATAAATTTTTAATTGTACTCGCAGTTCAAATACTTTGATTGTTTGTACAAAGATCCACCACATTTGACCGCATCTCACACGGCTTATTCACTGCCTGTGGATAAAATCTGCATTTGAATCAAAATGAACTTTCTTTATGTGGTGAGAGCATTACATTATGTTTCAGTTACATAAAAATATTAAAAGTCGGGCAATAATAAAATAGTCTCTGGCTGTGCTTTGAGGTAACTGAAATATTACAAGTATTGTCATTATTCTCATTTTGTCCCAGGATTAAAGAAAACATTCAAAAGCTCCAGAAACGGTAAAACTTTTCATTGTTGTTTTATTATCTTCATTCTGTATTGTATTAATTTGGAACATAATTTGTTTGGATGAAAAGTTACTATGTATACTTGGATATATAACAACCTGTAAAACTGCCGATGGATTTGTTACTGAATTCCTGCAGTTTTTTAGTTAAATGGAACACCCTCATTGTGGTTGTCAGGCTTATGAAGGAGCAGATGGGAAATGGTAAAAGTCAGGAGACTCTGGCCAGCATTGGACAGCAAAGCTCCTCAGAAAAAGGGGCAGAAGAGCAGGAGGAGGAGACAGGAGAAGGTAGTATCTGTAACAACAATGTTTTTCATTAACAAGCTGGCACAGGTTGTTGTTGTTTTTTCAATTTTACTCTCTGAAACTCGTTGGCTTCCTTTAACACATGCAAACACATGCAAACATTACTCTTTCAGTTTAGAGCATTTGGAGTCTATTCACATGTTCTGATGTTTCCTCTTCAGATAACTGAGATTGTACTGTTACTGTCTGCGGCTGCAGCATTGATATAATCCAGTGTTGATGATCAAATTATGTCTGATGCCCTTTCCTACCCTTGGTATCATCCCCTCTTCTTAGAAACAGTGCACAGCAGCAGTGAGGACAAGTGGATTGTGATTGTGGATCGGGCGAGCCTGCTGCTCATCCAGGGTCTGTCGGGGTTTCGAAGGCTCCAGGAGCTGAGCTGGAGGCTGATGGAGCTCCACAGCCTCAAAATTGTGTCGTCTGGCATCATCTGGGTATCGCTGCAAGAGGTGGGATGTTGGCTCTGATCATGCATGCATAAATTCTATAGGTGTGTAAATACAAGTTATTAAAGCAGCAACAAAAAAAATATGTCCAACAGTATTGATTTACTTAGTGCTGATGTTGATGAGGGTACATTTAACCTCCAGCTCTTCTTCTTCTCTGTACATAAATATGTTAATATATTTTGCACAGGTTTCACTGATGAACTTGCTTTTCCTGGTTCTATGGGCATTTGCACTCCCATTCCCACGGTTACGACCTTTAGCATCAAACATCTCTGCTGTGTGGGCATGCGTCATGGTGGTGTGCAAGATGTTTTACCAGCTCAAAGTCATCAAACCTCTTGATTACTCCTCTAACTGCACTGCTGTGAGTTTTCTGTAATTATAAGTCTCTGGAGGTTGGATTAAGTGGCTCGTTTCTGTGTTATTGGGGTTTTTTGCGCTTGTATTCTGTGGTAGTGCAGTTATACTCACCTCACAGCAAGAAGGTTCTCTGGTCAAACCTGCTAATGCATGTTAAGTTAATTTGTGAATGTAACTGCCACTGTGTCACTCAGGATTGTAGTTATGTGGGATGCTATTTCTTCTACTATGCACAAACATTACAAACTTCAGTCACATGGTCCTGATGTCATCTCTGATACTGAGGTAGAAACAGGCTTTGATAATGAGTCTGACTACCTTGTCTAGGGTTTACTTCCCTCCAACAGCTCGGGCCTGGATGATGGAGCAGAGCTGAAGGGAAACATGGTGGAGTTGCTGAGGAGGTCTATTCTCTACATCGAGCCCGTTGACCCCGTCTACTGGTGTGGAGCACTGCGCAAGTGTGAGGGCAGGATCCTCCCCTGTCTCAGGGTGAGCTGATACATGTCAAAGTTTGGTATCTTAAAAAAATTGTGATGTGTTTCCAACATTTAGAAAAGAGTGCACCTGCTTTTAAAAGCTCTTTTAAAGTTGTCCAGATGAACAGAATCAACTTTTGGAGATTTACTTACCTGGATGACTGAGCATCTTTTAAAGTCATTTACTAGTCATGAAACTTCATTAGGGCAAAAATGTTTAAGAAATTTAGATTTCAGTTACTTAGCAGTAGTTTTGTTTAGAGAAAATAATACTTTGATATCCATACTATTATTATAGCATTAAAGTAATTATTGGTTGTTGTTTTTTTACTGTGGTAGAACCATCTGATGGTCCTGGGTCTGCTGGTGTTCGAGTCTACTGTCCACCGCCACCAGCTCTACTTTCGTCTCAATAACAGCCTGAAGCCTCCACCCTTCAGCATTATCTTCCAAGGCATCACCAGGCAGCACCTGGATCATGGCATCCTGCCATGCATCAAGTACTTCATCAACTTCTTTTTCTACAAATTTGGACTCGAGGTACTTCTTCAGGCTTGCAGTATTCATTCTGTTTCTCTTTAACTGAAAGTGCACATCTCTGACTTCTTACCATGCTTGTACTGCTTCTTAGATCAGTTTAATCGTTGCAGTCAATGTGATTGGTCAGAGGATGGATTTCTACGCCCTGCTCCATTCCTGCGCCTTGCTAGCCGTCCTGTCTCGGCGACGCAGGAAGGCGATTGGTGAAGTGTGGTCTAAATACTGCACGTTTACAGCGGGCCTCATGGTGCTGCAGTATCTGCTCTGCATCGGCATCCCTCCTGCTTTCTGTGTTGGTAAGGATCTTTCTAATAGTTTGTAGCAGTTTTGCTTCCATGTCTTGAAAAAAATATAAAAAAAGTTTCTAAGATAAAAAATGTAATCACCTAAATCACTTCAAAGGAAATATAAATATATATAAATGAAAATAATCTGTGCTATGCCTTTTATTCCATTTGCTTGGTAGATTACCCCTGGAGAACAGCTGTTCACCCTTTGTCTTCTAATGTGATTAAGTGGTTTTACATGCCGGACTTTGCCATGAGACCCAATCCTTTATTCATATTCTGTGAGTTGATCTTCTAAGTTCTTATTTTGTTGATCTTCTTTTCCTCTTCTGGGTTAGGGTCTCCCATTTTTGTCCTTTTCCGTCTGCAGATGACTACCTCCTGCTGCTCTGCTCGTCTCTGCAGTGGCACGTATTTGAGGAGGAGAACCGAGCTGCAGTGCGACTGCTGGCCGGGGACAATGTCGAGATCAGCCGCAGTTTGGATCCTTGCTCCTTCAACCAGTTCATACCTGTTGACAACTTTCTTCACTGCAGGTCAGAATGTGTGATTCTTAATTGTTGTAGGGTTGATATGTCTGTTATCAGTATACTGACACTGTGTAATTCTGTTGTTCAGTTTATTTTCTTCTTATCTTTAACATGACTCACCCTCCAAATCTAAATTTAGTGTTGATCAGAGCAGGAAATAGCCTGAACTCCATAATCCAGCACTCTCATCAAACCGCTTTTTGTATTGTGGGTTAAACTGCATATGGAGAGTTGGGAGCCCATCACTCTGGTCTGTGGTCATTTTAGGAGCATTAAAGGGTTGAATTAGATTATTAATTTATGCGTGTCTCATTTCCAGGAACTTTTGTTAATGGGCTTTATTTCAGTCTTCAGATTTCTTGCTGTCCATAAAATATATTTCTGAAAATTCTCAGACAAAACCAAAAAAATTCCATGTGGAAAACACATTTGGAATTAGTAATTTATGTACAATTTTATATTAAAATAAATACAAGAAATTCGACTCCCTGTCAGCTTAGAAGATTGCAGATACAAGTGGCGGAAACAAGCTGGCCTGCCCCTTAGTGATAGGTTTTAGGCATTCAGGGGCTCAGATTAGAGCCGCCATTCCTCCACATTGAAAGGAGCCAGCTGAGGTGGTTCAGGCATCTGACAAGGATGCTTTTTGGTGCCTCCTGGATGAGGTGTTTTCCCCTACCGTGAGCAGGCTCCAAGGTAGACCCAGGACACGCTGGGGAGATAATCTCTCTGAGTTCGGCTGGAAATGCCTCGATGCTCCCCTGGATGAACTGAAGGAGGTGGCTTGAAAGAGGAAGGTATGGGCTTCTCTGCTTATGCTGCTGCCCCCAGGACTCAGTGCCGTGTATGTAGAAGTCTGAATTTTCTGATTATGATGACTACAAAATACATGAAGTAAGATTGAAGTCTTTGAACAAGTTCAGATTTAATCTAAATGATTGTCCTTCTTGCTCTGCACCGTTCTCTCACATACACTCTTCCTGCTCCTCTTCTCTGATTGTTGTAATCCAACTAATCATCCCTGCCACCTATATTATTGATTCATTAATTAATTATTCCCTATTTGTAAAATTGCAAGCAAGCCACATGAGCGATGATTTTGAGGCTCGGGCTCCTTTGTTTCAACACATATTAGGGACGACAAAATTATTATTTATATCTCTACTTATTTCTCTGATGAACTTTTGGGCTATTCGCAGACGACTGATCGCCTAATCAGAGGGAAAACCGTTTTAAAGCCCCGTCTGCCAACTTAAGAAATAAAGCCGTCATTACACATGTACTTTGGACAATGCTGGAAGATTGGATTCAGTTCGATTCTATGGAGCCGCCAGAAAAGTGTGCACAGAAGGCAGGAAACCTGATTTTGACTTACTGTAAATTCACCAGACAGACTTTGTACTAAGGAGCTAGCAGGTTAATGACTGATAAAAGAAAGAACTTGCTTATTTGTTTACACATAATAACACCACATCATGTTCCATTATGTTGATGTGCGTGAGTGATGTCAATGACCACAGGGAGCATCTGAGGCCTCGCTTCCAGACAGAAGCAACATTTAGTAAAGAGCTCATGATTTTCATTAAACATATAAACAGAAAACAAAACATAAATCATTGAATTCTCCCCTGTCTGTTCACATCCATGCATTTATTCATTGTACTACAACTGCACTGAATACTTTCTTATTGTCTGCAGTGCAAGTGTTAGTGTTATAACTAACTCTGTTTAGGCATGTAGTGTTCCCATGCTAAACTACATTAATTTTGTAAGTTACTATTAAATGTCCTTGTTTCCTTGGTGAGCTGAAAAGCCTGAAAATATAGAATACAAAATCTCTAATTTCCCCAGTCAAATTTTTGTACCACTCTGGATAGATAAGTATAAACAACTTGAAATGAGACAGCATAATCTCTAAACGTTAATGGTTATGAGTTTCCAAAGTGTCAGCCTGCACTTCAGAGCCTGTTGTTTAGATAGAGGGGATGAAGAGGTGGCAAAGTTCATGGTAGAAGTGCAAGGTGAAACGTAGTTATGCAAAGACAGATTGCTCCTTCAAAAAGGCTGTAAAGAACACTAAATACTTTTAAAACGTTTCTAATTGTCTAGAGTTCTTGGACATTAAGTGTTTTTGTGTGCATTATAAGATAAACAATCGCTACCTCTGAGAAAAACGCTTTCCCTGGAAGTGGTTGAAGAGATTACATTGTTTTTAACTGTTAAACTACAAACCCGTTTATTCAGTTCATTCTTTTGTTAAAATCTTTAACAGTTTTCATCTAATTTTCTTTTCTTATTTACTTTTTCTACAAAATTTAAAAAGCATTCTCTCAAACATTTGAAAAAGTAAGAAATGCATTCAATTAAATCCATAAGCCTGGACAATTACATCATAAGCCTGTACATTAAATATGGATAACGTGCACTTTAATAATATTTTTTTTGCTGTATCTTAATGTAAATACAGAGAAGGAATAAACTACTTGAAGAGTTTTAAATATGTGCTTTCCAAGGTTATTATAGTTTACTAAAACTAAAGTAAAAGCTGGAATTAGAAGGGTTTTTTTTATTAACTTAAATAAAAATAGAAACTAGACTCTTGAAAGATATCAAAACTAACTAAAACATTTCGTGAACTTGGAAATCAAATTAAAATAAAAAAAATAGTGAAAGTTTTAATATTTATTATTTTAATATAATTGATAATTTGATTTTATCACAATTTGCTTAATGAAGCAGTCATGGATGTGTTTATTGGGAGTCTGGATGTTGTGTTTTTATTGTATTGCCTGTACTGATTTTCCTAAATCCTGCCTCTAAAATATGCCCTCCTCTATGTGGCGTCTAAAAATAAAAACTAATAGAAAATACAAAACTAGATTAACTGTAGTGCTTACATATTTTTTACAGCAATGGTTTAGCTTTGTAATATTTGGCAGTATGATTTGCTTTCTTTTTAAACTGAAGATGTGGTCTCTGTTTTGTCCTCAGGTGCTATCTTGATATGGTGAAGGTGTTTGTTTTCAGCTACTTCTTTTGGCTGGTGCTTTGTCTCATTTTCATCACTGGCACGACACGCATCAACATCTTCTGTCTCGGCTACCTGGTGGCCTGTTTCTACTTCATGCTGTTTGGAGGCAGTGTGCTGATGCAGCCAGTCAGATACATCCTGCGGCTATGGGACTGGCTCATTGGGTACACCTGCTTTGTGATTGCCATGAAGAACCTGGTGTCTGTAAGCGACCATACCATAAAGAAGTTCAGAAGTTGTACAATTGTACAGAATAATTCAAGACATGCAGCTATTTTTTTAAAATCATGCATTACTGATTAATGCCTCTTTTTCCTTCTTTCAGCTGGGTTCTTGTGCCTACCTGGACAGCCTGGTGAAGAACAGCTGCTGGCTAATTCAGGCATTTAGCATGTTTTGCACCATCAAAGGTTATGATGTCCGTAAGTGTCTGTAACAAGGATATTTAGTCACGATTTGTGTTAGGGAGAAAAGAATGTGCCAGAATTTCCGATGGTATATTTACACTCAAAGCCACTTTATTAGGTACTCCTGTTAAACTGCTCATGAATGCAAATATCTAATCAGCCAATCACATTGCAGCAACTCAGTGCATGACCTGCTGAAGTACAAACTGAAATTGTCACAGTGCTGAAACAATAATTATAAGCATCATTAAAAAAAGAAAAAAAACACAACAGAAATACATGATGGAAAATTAGAGTTTTTATATTGACATTCAACATTTTTTAGATGTTTTACAACACTTTTTTACAGCTGTGTTATATTTTACTTTTTTTTTTATAGTTGCACTTTATTTGGAAGGTTAAAATTATCATTTTAATTAGCCAAAATAAAATGCAGAATTAAATATCCATTGGTATACATTAAAATTAAAATCAAAGTCATTATTCTACACAACACATGATGCAGAAATGTTTTCTGTCATGTAAAAGTTTGTTAAAATCTGCTGTAAATTCTTCAGACATATTTCTCCTACCCTGTGTGCCTTTCAGCTGATCCCGATGATGAATGTGAGCTGCCTGCAGGTGAAGCCGGCATCGTCTGGGATGCGATCTGTTTCACTGTCCTCTTGGCACAAAGGAGGGTCTTCCTCAGCTACTACTTCCTCTATGTGGTGTCTGACCTCAAGTCTTCTAAGATATTGGCCTCTAGGTCAGTGCTTCATTTTCAGGTTTAGCTCTATAACATACAGTAGTCTTAAAGCTTTACACATAAGGTCAGTGAGGTTTGAAAACTTGAAAGTTTTATATGTTTTGTTGGATAAATCTAGATTGAGTGTAACACTTAAAAAATAAAAGAAAACCAAAGACACAAGAATTCATGCGAAAGCTGTTTACGAGAGGTTTTTGGTAGCTCTCTCTTTCATGGATAAATCATTACACAGAATTCCTAATAATAATTTCCAGTAATTTTCCTAGAAAGAACAACGTGATTTGGTCCTAACTGCATGAAAATGTATTTCGGCATGTTTGTTTGAGTTGCTGTGGATTTACTAAGGCTTACAAGGCTATGCTAGAATGACCAAACTACAGTTTATTTTTTCTGTTTTTTTCTGTTCTGTTTTTACAACATAGTAGCTGTAAAAAGACATCACTAATCTCTTACTCTAACTCATTTTACATGGTGGGTCAGATACAACCCACTTTCATCCTGAGAGGGCCAGACCAGTGAAACTTTCTTTTCTTTGTGTTTGTATACAGAAGTTTATTTGCACATTTAATTGCTGAAATATCTCAATATAAGTAAAAAGAGCAGTTTCAACAGTATGTCTCAGTTTTGCTGCATAACTAAGAAGTGTTACTCTACTAAATGAAAGAAATCTGTTGCCAAGATCTGTATGATGTGTAAAACAAAATGTGTAAAGCATTGCCCAGACTGTCCTGTAATAATTGGACCGCACTGGAGTCTGCGCCAGGCCAATTTTGTCACACATTTTGGGCCTTATGTTTGACACCCCTGCTTTAGAGTCACAATGTAAACTTAGCTTGTTAATGTAAAAACAAACAAAGTAAAAGCTAAAACAGCAGTTAATGTCCCTGTCCATCTCGACCTTGAAGGGGCGCTGAATTGTTTGAGGCCAGAGTGAAAAAACAGGTAGCAGCCCGACTGGAGATGGAGAAGAAATCAGTGGAGGCTCTGAAGAAACAGTAAGAACACTTACACTGAAACCATTAATGGATCAGGTTTACAGTAAAGACCATCACACTTCCCCTCTTCCTAAGCAGCGAGTTATAAACTAACCTTTCAGCCTTCTTCCTATAGGATGGAAAAGATCAAATCTAAACAGAAGAGTCGACCTGCACCACCAGAAGAACCTCTTGCTGATCAGGAGCAGGTGACACCTGGTAACACAAGTGACTCTTTTTCAGTTTCTAATGTTAGCAAGGAAAACAGGCCAAATTCATACAGTAGAGTAGAGAGAGTATGGTGAGGGATGTTTGAGGAGGGGGTTTAGTCTGCTTGTTCTTTTTCTCTGTGATGGATGTGTTTAATTTATGGAAGCCAGTAAATATCATCAACACATAAACAAAACGAACTGTAAATTCCAGGTGATGACGAGAAGGCAAAGAGAGATGCAGGAAAATGGTGGAAGCCCTGGGTCTCTCAGCCTGGAGGTGAGCAGGATCCTTAATCAGTGTGAAAGAAAGAGAGTATTGGCAGAGGAAAGAGTGAAGACAATGCTGTTTCCTATCATTAGGTTGTGTGCTTCACTTCTTTTCAATTTAATCAGAGAAATGTTTTTAACCTGACAGTAAATGCAGCAGCAGATTTTAGCCACTGACCTGCTTCTTTAGAGCAGATCAGATGCCAGTGGTATGTCTGTGTGTGCATGTAGTTTTGACACTGTTTTGTTTAACACAGTGGAAAACAATTGTGGCTACCACCTGTTTGAGAGTGACAGTGAGGAGGAGGAAGAGGAAGTTCCTGAGAAGACAGAGGAAGAGCAACCACCAAAGAAGAAATCTGCTTTTCAGGTTAGAGCCAGAATGATCTGAGCCAAAACTAAAAGCAATGGAGATACAGTTAAAGTATTTCACAATTTCCCCTTAAAGTGTTCGTTTTGAGTTTTGTAGCTGCAAAAACAATCTATGTTGTAAGATCAGTGGGTGATCTGTGCATCTTTGTCTTTAATTCTAGTTGGCCTATGAGGCCTGGGTCACGAGCTCAAAGAAGGCCTTGAAGGACCTGAAGAAGGAGAAGACAAAAATAAAGAAAGAAGAGAAGAAGAAAGCAAAGAGAGAGCTGCAGAGGCAGCAGGGTGAGAACGGATCATGTTGTGTTTACTAGTGCTACTCTTACTAGTAGACATGTATGGTAAAGGGGACTGTAACTATAAAGACATGCTGTATCACAAACAGTTTGATGATGGCTCTTGTTCTCCAGGCATTGATAAAGCAGAATCCAGTGAGGACGAACCAGATGAAAGTGTTGTGGAGGAGGAGGGAGAGGAGAAAAAAGGTATACACTTCTAAGGGATGGGAATGCCCTAGTTCCAAATGACCCTCTGCTTGTTGTTGCAATGAAAACAGGAAGCATTAAAAGCATGGAAAACCTTCACTCTAATTGGCTTACTGTGCTTTTACACATAACCTCTTACAGAAAACATCCTGCAGCGCATCATCAGCACGATAAAGTTCAGCTGGGTGTTCCTTCAGTCTCTTCTTGATGACCTGACGGAGGGATTGAACTCATTTTGTAAAGACAACCTGGGCATTTCCAAAGTGCTGCGCTTCGAGCGAGCCTTACTCAACCAGCAGCAAAAGAAGGTCAGCTGAGAGGATAAACACTTGATTTTAGTCAATAAGCAATGTAATTATAACAGAACAAGTTTCACAATTAGTCTCAAGGCTGATATTTATATTTAACACAGTTTTATGGGGGAAAAAACAACAACATTATCTGCTATTAGCAAGTTCAGTACATTCCAGGCAATCCCATAAGATGAACACTAAACACAAATGTCTTTAAATTTGTCTTTAAAGTGTTTTTGATACATCTTCAGTTTATTTAACCAGGATCCTTTATCCTAATGCACCTTTTAGCACTCTGTCTGTATTATCTGGCTCTGCAGGGTAAAGAGGTGAGTCAGGAGAGTGTGAAGCAGTTTTATGAAAACTGGAAGTCCCGTCAGAACACACTGTCGTCTCAGGACAATCTAGATAAATCCCTGTCAGCTCCCGGCTCTCCACCTGCCAGCCCTTCTTCACAACACGCGTACAAGAAGCTGAAGAACGAAGCCTCCAAAATTTCCTGGGGCAGCAGTGTTTCCAGGTACACACAGACAACATAGTCATAGTTTACCTTTCAGGCACACACACTGAGTCTCTCCCTCCTGCTTAACTTCAGCTGCATGACAGACGAGACGATGCTGGTGTCCCGGCAGCCAACGCAGGAGGAGCTGGATGAGCCTCCTGCTGTGTCACCTGCTGCTGACCAGCTCAGACGAAGGCTCTTTAAAGAGGCCAATATTGACATGACATCTTTTGACACTGAGGAACTTTCACCCAGGTGAATGGATGAGTGAACGACGTTTTAGACACATATTTCTGCTCAGTTTAATCCTGTTGTTAGTTGTGATCTCTAACAGACAAATCTATCAGACAAAAACTCCAGTGCAGAATTCATAAAATTATTATTTTCCATTGAGAATAACTTCTTCCTGTTCTTCATCCCAGTCAGTAAAACTGCAAACACCACATAAATAACACGCATAATTGCAGGAAAGGTTTCATTTACCAGAAACAGCTTCAGATACAAGAATTGTCTTTCAAGATGTGATTCTATGATTCCTGAAAGTAAGATTTCTGATTCGCTTGTTTCTTAAAAGCTGTGAAGAACCAAAAGAACTTCATGAACAAGAGGAGGATGATGAGAAACAAACAGAAGTTGAGATGAAATGTGAAGAAGAACAAGAACAACGAGAAGATCCTGAGGTGGAGAAAGAGGAGCGGGATGAGGAATCGCTGCAAAGAGAAGAGGAAGAAGGTGCCAAATACCCAGAATGGACCTCGCTGGATCTCAGGGATAGCGATGGAGAGAAGAGTCTTGACCTCACAGAGTCTCCCAGACCTCTGAGTCAAGAAACGAGGAACCTCACTGCCAGTGAGCTGCTACTCAACAAGTTAGTAGACACAAAAAAATTTAGTATGCAGGACAAAAGAGATATAAGCTCCATCTCTTAAGAACTTTAATCTCCATCATTGTGTTTTTCCTCTTCCTCTCTTCTCTGTCCTTTCTGATTCTGAAGCATGTTTGAAAATGATGAGATCTCCGAGTCCGACAAGTTTTTCGTGACCTTGCCGAGGCCGCTGAAGCTGCTGTTTGCCCTCTATAACACCATGGTGTCCAAGTCAGAGATGCTATGCTACTTTGTGATCATTCTAAACCACATTGTGTCAGCTTCGCTCCTCTCCCTCATCCTGCCGATTCTCATATTCCTCTGGGCCATGCTGTCTGTGCCTCGGCCGACCAAACGCTTCTGGATGACAGCCATCATTTACACCGAAGTAGGTTTTCTTGTAAATACGTCAGATAAAATCTAAATGAAGCAAAGGTGTGTTTTTAGTTTCTTAATGCAAATACTAGATACACATATAATGCTTTTAATGGTTGATTTGTTGAGTAGTTTAATGTGCGTGCTGCAAACAGAACTCACTCACATCTCTTGTGTCTCTCTTGTTTGTCTCAGCTGACTGTTGTGGTGAAGTACTTTTTCCAGTTTGGTTTCTTCCCCTGGACCACCTCTGCCTACCGAGGCATCAACGCTGACCGGCCCTTCGCCCTGCCCAACATCATTGGGGTGGAGAAGAAGGACGGCTATGTCCTCTTCGACCTAATTCAGCTGCTCGCGCTGTTCTTCCACCGATCTATCCTAAAGGTAATGTGAAAACTAACCACTGTAAATCGTTTTTAAGCAGCTACTTTGAAATGTTCAAGTGCTGCCTGTGTCTATGTCTCTGCAGTGCCACGGGCTGTGGGACAACAAGGAGGTTGAGATGCCCGATTTCTTCAAGAAGCTGAAGAAGAAAGTGGACAAGAAGAAGACCGGAGCAGAGAAGATGGGCAGCAGGGAGCAACCACCGCGCCGTCTGAGGTTCCTCCCCCTCCAGGCGTCCACCACCTCCTTATTCTGTAGACTGAAAAAAGGCGAATCTGCAGAATCTGGTGGTGAATATTCAGAAGATCCCTACATGTCTTGAATAAAGAGTCTCCATGTTCATTATCTCATTTTTGGAAGTTGTCATGTTGAATTCATTACCAGCAAATGGCTAGTTTTTCTCAATTTCTTTTAATTTGTTTATTTTTTAAACTGGAGAGATGAAGCCCAAAAAGCAGCAAAGCAAGAAAAAGAGACGGGAACGACATAAGGCTCCGCTGACAAGGAAGCAGAGGATCAGACAGCAGATCAGAGAGAGGATGCTACAAGCCAAAGCTGCCGCCATAGAAGTGTGAGTTGTCTGCAGTCCACTAAGTCTGTTTTCTGAGATGTTAGTCATTACTTTATTTTGGTAGATAATATTTTTCCATAGATTTATTTTTAGTGGAGAGGAGCTTCCCGTTTCTGTCTTACTCTGCAGTCTCTTCTCTTTCTGCAGCGGCCTTCACATCTACTTACCTATAAGGCAGTTTTTCTATGACATCATTCACCCAGATTACAGCCCTGTGTGTGACGTCTACGCCCTCATGTTTCTCATTGATGTCGTCAACTTCATTGTCACCATATACGGATACTGGGCTTTTGGGGTAAGACTACACAAACATATTAATATTTCTTATTATTTAAATCATAAATAAAATTTACTTGACATGTATGATTTATGACAATGAGGCTAATTTTCATCGCTCTGTAGAAATACTCTGCAGCGGCTGACATCACAGAATCACTGTCAGAAGACCAGGTTCCAGAGGCCTTTCTGGTCATGCTACTGATCCAGTTTGGTACCATGATAGTGGACCGAGCCCTTTACTTGAAGAAGTCTCTGCTGGGAAAGTGCGTTTTCCAGGTGGTGCTGGTGTTTGGCATACACTTCTGGATGTTCTTCATTCTCCCTGGTGTCACAGAGAGGTCATTGTTCAATAAATTCTTCTTCTTCTCATTTTTTACTCAGTAAAATAAAGTCAAACTCAATGAAGTGCTTTGTAAATAAAGTTGGCATTGTATGACTGACCTTTTCAAACATTCAACCACCAAAACAAATTTTTCTGTTCAGGGCTGGATAACTGTAATCTGGCATCGTAATCAAAAAATAATAAAGCTTTATTATTTTTTTCAGCTTTTTTGTAAAACAGTAAATCTTAGAATTTCATGGATAACAACAATACTTATATTTTATCATTAAAAAATTGATTTCAGTTTAAGAGCTTGCACATACTGGTGGATTAATGTCACATAAATCTTACATTCGACAGAGGCCTATTAAATTTGTTAAGCACAGTATATAAAAATAAAAATAAACAAATCTGATCCATGACAATAAAAGGAGCAAAGATCGATATCTCTTCTGTTTATTTGCTCCAGGAGGTTCAACAGAAACCCAGTTGCTCAGCTGTGGTACTTTGTAAAGTGCATCTACTTCGGCCTGTCTGCGTACCAGATCAAGTGTGGCTACCCAAACCGCATCCTGGGCAACTTCCTCACCAAGAACTACAACTACCTGAACCTCTTCCTCTTTCAGGGGTACAAAAACCGGCTAAACTGTAACTAAATAACCGCCAACATAAATACTTCAGACACGTTTTACACTGTGACTGGTTTGTTTGTAGCATGATCAAATTTTTATTTTAATTCAAAACGTTTTTCTCTCTCTCTCTTCTCCTCTTTCAGTTTTCGGATGGTTCCCTTCCTGACAGAGCTGAGGGCGGTGATGGATTGGGTTTGGACCGACACCACGCTGTCTCTCTCCAGTTGGATTTGCGTTGAAGACATCTACGCTAACATATTCGTCCTCAAGTGCTGGAGGGAGTCTGAGAAAGTAAGCAGGAGTGCTTAAGAAAGTAGTTGAAATTACTTTTAAAATCATTTTAGTCCCTGAACAAGTACAAAATAAACAATTAAATTACAGAAAAATGTGTGTTTTTCAGTGTAGACTATAGAAATTTCCATTAAATATATGAGAGAGTCTGGGCTGTGAGCTACCAGAACTCTTTGCTTACCTTTATAAATTTATGATGCAGGAAAATTGAGACGAGCTGTTGAAATGGCACGTCTTTATCCAGTGGACTGAATAACTTTTGATGGTAATCTATTCGTAATTCTTCCAGAAATTCCCCCACCCTCCGGGGCAGAAGAAGAAGAAGGTGGTGAAATATGGAATGGGAGGTTTCATCATCTTTGCTCTCATCAGCATCATCTGGTTCCCACTGCTCTTCATGTCACTGGTCCAGTCAGCAGCCGGAGTGACCAATCAGCCTTTAGACGTCTCCATCCAGCTCAGCATCGCAGGATACGAGGTCAGAATCGATACATCATATTTTGTGTTCATTATACTTTTTCTCCACAAAAAAATGTTATGGTTACTAATATTATTTATAAAGTTTGTGCTTCCTTCTAAGGTGAAACGGCAAAGTCACGGTGCATGGAAAACTAAATTCATATTTGCTATCATTAAACACAAGAAACATGACTTCCCTGCAATAGTGTCATGGTTTATGTGTATGTGTGTGGACATGTGTTAATTCTCTGCTGCATCTTTGTGTGTTCTCACAGCCTTTGTTCACTATGAGCGCCCAGGAGCAGAACTTGGTGCCTTACACAGAAGCAAAATTCAACAGGCTCACCAAAGTTTATGCGACTCATCCAGTGAGACACAGTTTATTCTACTGTAAATAGAAACAAATACATAAAGCATCAAAACTCCACTCAATCTGGTTCTTTAACAGAATACATTAACCTCGAAAACTATAAAACAAATTCATGAGCTCAGTCCTAGCTGTAATAATACCATCTATGACCACAGGAGGGAGCAGTCATTTCGGGTATTAGAGCAGAAAACCAGAACACCTTTAGAAATACATTACTGTCCAGCATTTCTTACACAATATCCATTACAAGAAGATATAACTTCGGGTGGTCAGATGACACTACACTTATTACATTCATTATTCATTATTAACTCTCTACATGGACTCACTGTGCCATATTGAAATAGAGTTTATGCTGTGTTTGTATTATATAACACTAGTTGATGTTGAAATATCATTATCCAAATTCACCAGAACACTGCAGCGGCATTTGCTGAAATAACCTAGGAAATCTAATCATTTCTCAATCACTCTCTCAGTCTGCCATGCAGTTCATCATGAACTATGAAGCTGAGGACATTCTTGTTGCTAAGATCAAGAGCGATGCCAGTTTACTGTGGACCATCAGCCCAGCCAGTCGAGCGGCCATGATCCAGGAGCTCAGCAACTCGTCTCACATATACATGACCTTACGCTGGACACTGCTCAGGTCAGGCTGTGTGTGTGTGTATCTTTCACCTTCAGATCATTTCTGCTTAGTATTTTTGTCAGCTAGTTGAGACAAAGAAAGAAAATTTATTTTTCTTAAAAGTAATTTAACCATCAAAGATATGGACACCGTCATAGCAAATTCACCCCAAAGTCAGAGCATGCAATGCTCAGGGAAGAAAAAAAACCCAATGACTACATCTCAAACTCTACAGACCTCAGTTAGCATGTTAGATGTTAAAGTTCATGACAGTAAAAATACAAATAGACTGAACAAGTATGGCTTGTTTGGAAGCATCTACTCTCTAAAAAGAACAAGGCGCCACAGCAAGAAGACTTCTGCAACAATGTCCTTTATTGTTACAATGAGAGAAAACCAAATGCATCAGCAAAAACTCCTCATACTAACTGTCAAGCATAGAGGAGGGGTGATGATTTGGGCTTGTTTTACAGACACAATCATTGAGCAAACCATTAACTCCTTTGTATACTTTGCTATCCAGAGGACTTCATGGTAGATTCAAATGTAAGGCTATTGTCCCAAACTGGGTTGTGCAATAGGACAATGATCCCAAGCACAGTAGCTAATCTACAAAATAAAAGAATTAGGTTGTTACAGTGGCCCAGTCAGTGGCTTCATAGTGTAGTGGTTAACTAAATTGTCGGACACATGTAAGATGGGAGGAGACATGTCTGTGTTGGTTTTCAGTAATGCAGGTCATGTTAGTAATAGCAGCCTTAAGACAGTGGGAGCAGACACAAATCCATGAGAGGAGCGCTTGTTGCAATGGGCCATTCAAAGTCCAGATTTCAGATTGAAATACTACGATAGGACCGTGAATGAGCTCAATAGAATACTTATTAACCTCAATATACTGAAGCAATGTTTACATTAAAAGAGTCAACCATAATTCCTCCACATGTGAAAGACCGCTAAAGTCATAGAGAAAATGAACTTGCTGCTAAAGGTGGGTTATACAAAGTACTGAACCAGAGGGTGTACTTACTTTTTCACATGACTGTAGTTATACTGTCATATCAACTTCAAAAATCTGGGAAACTAGCCCATTGTTTCTTATTACTTGATATTTTCTGCTAACTTTATTTAAGCACTTGCAATTTCACATCATTTGCCTGCACTTTGCACCAGTGCAAATAACACTTAAAATGACACCGGCAAATATGTTCCTCTCCTAAGGAATGCGTCCATATCAATGAATGCAGAGACCGTGGGAGAGCACACTGTGAAGTTTGACGACAAAACCTTGAGGGAAGGGATTGTGCGAATGCTTAAAGGCAACAGCAGCAGACCTGTGTGAGTCTCAGTCAAAACACAATCAGATGGTTTATGCATGCTTTATTATTGTGTTTTATTCAGGTGATGAAGTATTTGTAAATGTAAATCAAACAGAAATGTAGAAAATGTGGCTCTGCTGCTCTTCTTGTCCCTATACCACATAGAAGGTTAAACATCAAACTAAATTTAATGTAAGGGAACTCAGGCAGCCCTGGAGAGCTCCAGTGTACAACATTAGTGAATGTTTTGAAATTTTTATGGTGTTAATCTGAGTTTTCTTGTCTCTCTAGGATTATTGATTCTCTGCTGCCTAAATTCATCAGGGGTCCCAAAGGACCTGAGTCCAAAATGGGAACCAGGATGAAAGTAGGTTAGTTACTCTTTGTATTTTTTACCTGATCAAAGCAGGTCAGTCTCATTCCTTGTTGTTGGTGTATAAAACATGCACTTTGCTTTAAACCCATATCATCTCTTAGACTTGACAGACCGTCCAGACCTTCAGGCGCTGGCTTTCTTCAGGCCCATGTCAATCCAGCTTCAGCAGGTCAATGGGACGTCAAAGAAGGAGGCAGATCAGTGGTGGGTGGTGGAAGAGTGCTCCCCAGTTGTCACGTCCTCCGAGCACAAATGTCAAAGCATCGAGTTAGTGGTGTTCAGCGATAAAGTCAGCCCCTCCAGTCTGGGGTTTTTGGCCGGACACGGGTAGGTAACAAGACATTTTAACTGCATCCTGACAGGAAATCTTTCTCATAGCTGTGGATTCATTTACACACAAAACCTGTCCTCTTTCCCTCTTCACGACAGCATCGTGGGTCTTTACATGTCAGTGGTGCTAGTCATCGGAAAGTTTGTCAGGGAATTCTTCAATGGGATATCCAGGTCCATCATGTTTGAGGAGCTACCATGTGTCGACAGAGTCCTGAAGCTTTGCACAGACATTTTTGTGGTTCGTGAGACGGGAGAGATGGAGCTAGAAGAGACACTGTTTGAGAAGCTCATCTTCCTCTATCGATCACCAGAGACCATGATCAAGATGACCAGAGAGAAGAAAGACAGCTAGGGCTCAGTGGCTTGTCAGAATGCCCATGCTTTACGCTTGTAACTTATGAAGGATGATTTCAAGTAAATAAAAAGAAAAGTACAAACGAAACATCAGCATGAATCTATTATTAGAAAATGGTCTGGCTTTATCATTAAGCTACCCTGCGTGTCCTTTCAATCATGGCCTCTGACGTTAAGTGACAGGACAAGTTGAGAAGTGTTTTTAAGCAGCTCAGTAAATCATTGCTAAAGATATGAAAGGTCAGACATCAAGATGTACCACAGCCAAAAACCTCTCATGTGACCATAAACTAGAGGTCATTAATGAGAGAGCTGCACTGTTCACTAACACTTCAATTCCTATCCAGAAAGCAAATTTGATGAATTTAAATGACCACCTACATGAAAATCTAAAAAATTAAGTGACCAAAGATCTATTATATTACCTGCCAGAAAAAAAACGTTACCCTATGATCTTAACTGCATTTAAGAGTAAAAAGCCCTATTGATTTCTTTTTAATGCAATTTGTTTTCATACCATTGGTTAACGCATGCTTTCGAATTACATTTTTTACTGGTATAAAAGATGGCATCCCCATCTGACTTCTAATGACTAATATACTCATGGATCCACACACATATACCTCTGTAAATACTACATTTCTGTGTATAACTATGAAGAGTACTCCATTGCTTTATATCAAAATAAAGTGTTTGACAAAAATCATGGTCTTATTGTGCAGTACTGTAAATACCACAATAGATTCACTACAACACTACAAGGGCAAGAACACAAGGAGACAAAAGAATTCCAACATCCATCTTTAATACAATTTTGATTACAAATGAAAAGGGGGCGGGGGGTGCAGTGTCATTCAGGTCCCCAGTCTAACACATCATCTTGATGTTAACCAGCTTTTATTTTTCTTCTCCACGGTGTGCAGGACAGGTAAGCTGCAGGACCTCACAACCCATGAGAAAAAAAAATATCTACATCATGGTCAAACATCCTGGAAGGAAAGCAAAGCAGAATGGAAACATTAATGAAAAGATCCTCATAAAATGTCTTCGTAAATCTAAAACATTCAGTGACTGTGAGGTTATAGTTAAACAAATTTGAGATCTTAAACTTAAGCTGTCAGCCACAAAGGACAGTACCCATGTTAGGAGCATGCCACGTGCTCCTAAACTCTCCACGCCTGATAAAACATCTACATTTCCCCTTCAGCAGAGTTTGTCACATTTGTTAAATGCTCCTGGAGCTCACCTCACCACAATAAAACAAGTTGGTGAAATGTTGCACCAAGTCATCTAGTTCAGAGTCCTGATAAGAATGGAAACCACCACAGCACATTAGCAATACGAGCTAATAGTGACCACTACTGAAACAACCAAATAAATGCACTCAAATGCTGAATTTTAATACTCAAAAAAACTTGTGTATTATAAATCTCAATGCATACTCACGTTTCCTAAACCAATATATTCCTTTATATTTTTGATTTATTTGTTGAGAGCATTTGACTTTGTCTGAATAAAATGAACGCTAAACTGATGCACTGTTAAATTGTTATGCATTCGACAATTCAAATACGAGGCCAGCTTCACCATAACTAGACAGGACAACGATATGGAGCTTAAATGTGTGTGCAACAGTAATAATAACCCAGTACACCACTATTTGAAGGAGACACTGAAAGCACCGTCACAGCCGCCTCTCCCTGACATTCACTCTATCAGAGGGCATGAGCTGTGATCAGAACAGCGTTGGTACCTTTAAAGCTGATGAACTTACATGCTGTTTTATTTTGAGGTTTGAGGACTCTGACGTTGGACTCTGCGGCCCTTATCGCCTCGGCTTTGAACTGCGGCTTGAGGGCAGCCCGCACCGCGTTAGCGCAGATAGCGGAGAAGCGGATGTAGCTGCAGAGAGGACACACAGGTTAGCCACATGCTAAATGCTACCGACAATGATTTGTCTGTAGAGGACAAGAACAACCTCTTCTTCATTAAGAAACCACATACTATCAGAGGAAGTCCCACCTGACTCGGTATTGAGGTAATGCTACTGCCATAAATTAAACGCATACGGTGGGGAACACTAACGTTAGTAAACTTAGTATATTAGCTATGTAGCTAAATTGAGAATTTAACACTAAAAACCAACATTTTCTTTGACAGAGCATTCTGTTCTCATTTTAAACCCCGTTAAAATAAAGCAATCAACATTTACCACAAGCCATTTCATTGTAACTACATATTTATTTTTATTTTAATACCTCAGGCCTGCCTGTCTCCAGTATGCGACCATCTTGGCTGTGTTGTAGCTTCAAGGACAGGTCGGATGTCTGCGTGATGACGTATTTGACAGGCGCAAGACGTTTTTCCTCCCAGCCAATAAAACAGTTTTTGGTCGTGATTGACAGCTGGTACTTTTATTTGTCCCGCCTTCCGTGGATGAACAAAGTACCTGGCTTTTTATTGTTTACTTTGAGTCGACAGTAAATTATAAAGTTAAATTTCAATAAAATAAATAAATAAGTGGTATGGTCTGTGAATTAACAAACCCTGTTTAAAAAAGTAATTATGGGACAGCTTGCCAGGGATTTTTCTGTAATTTCACACATTTATTTCTTTTTAAGCCTAAATATTGATAGATAGTTTATTGATCCCAGAGGGGAAAATACTGTGTTACAGCAGCTGGCAGGATAAAAACCAACAACAATAATGACAACCCCCCCAATAGTGCAGCCTTGAATAAATAACTAATATAGTTCATGTAAAAGCATCACGGGTGCATAGTCAGGGCCTCATACTATGAAGGAGCAAAGACTTTACATTTACAACTGTAAAAACCCCCACAAAATATAATAATAAAAAAAGAAGTTAAATAATGAACACTAAAAAGTAAGACAGAAAATGTGCAAGGGACTAGTAAAAATTACATTAATAATTAATATGTACACAATTAAGAAAACAGCTTCAAGAAGGTATAATACAGAAAGAGTCACACTCATAGATTTATTTCATTTACTGCAGCAGCATTTCTTTATCATGGAGAAAAATGGCAGACGTACAGTTGAAATTGCACTTCAGAAAAACTTTATTAATCCAAGAGTTAAATCATCGGTTATCATAGCAGCAAATATACAAAAAACAAGAAGCACTCATATAAATGTGTGTAGAAACAGAGTTATGATAGATAAACATTAAGATAAGTGGATAAACATAGAGATATATGTGTAAATATAAATATACATATAACTATAAAAGGACAAGTACGTGTGCAAATATATGTTGTGGTGTACAAAAGTGACAAGGTGCATTGAGGTGTGATTAATTCTGCTAAACATGTGTGGATCTGACCCAAGTGGATGAAATAAAGAGTCTGAAAGCAGCGGGAAGGGACAACCTCTTCTAACGTTCCCTCAGACTGCGAGGTTAAAGTAACTTGGTGCTGAAACTGCTCTTCAGATTGTCCAGTGTGTTATGGAGGGGCCTGGAGTCATTGTCCAAGATCGCCAGCAGTCTTGCCAGCATGCTATCACTGATCACCTCCTCCAGGGTGGTGAGCTTCATGCCAACAACAGACTCTGCCTTCCTGATGAGTTTGTTCAGTCTGTTTGCGTCCTTTGCTTTGATGCCTGCATCCCAGCATGCCACAGGAAAGAAGATGGTGCTCGAAACAACAGACTGATAAAACATGTAGAGCAGCCTGCTGCATACATAGAAGAATCTGAGCCTTGGTAGAAAGTAAAGCCGGCTCAGACCCTTTTTGTAGGCAGCGTCCGTGTAGGCGGACCACTCCAGCTTGTGATCCAGCTGAACTTGTTGGATGTGACTATTTCGGCATCAGTCCCACCAATGCAGATGGGGGAGGGTCGGGATCTGTTTCTGCCAAACTCCACCACCAGCTCCTTTTTTTGGCCACATTCAGCTGCAGGTGGTTTACCTCAACCACCTCATGAAGCGGTCAATCAGTCGATATTAAGCTATCTATATTATAACGCTATATTAAGTTGATATATTAAACTATCTCAGGGATTAAATGTGCAGTTAAAGTTCTTTACACTGACAGAAAGAGGAGTTTCACTGGTCACACCTATTTAATATCAAAGCGGGCTGTTTGTGGCCTATGTTATAAATGAGTTAGACATCCCTGCCTAAATGCTCTAAACTGAAATGTATGTGTTATGTAGTTTTAAACCACTGCATATCTACACAATGTGAATGAATGCAGTGAGTTTATAGGGTGCTGATTTTAATTAAAAACAACAAGTAGAATACATTTTCCTGCACAATGAATAAAAAAGAACAAGGTCAAGCAACTTGTGGGAAAATGTGAATCTTTGACTTGAAATAATTTTGCTACTAACAAATGTTTCCCACTAACAGGTCTGACTGATGGAGAATTCCAACTCAACTACAGATAAAAATGCTTCTCTTTCTTATATCAGCTGTGCAGCCAACAGTTTCAATTTCAATCTGAAGATTTTGCCACTGTTACCATAGCAACAGACAGTAGGACTTTTCTTCATAGGAACTGTGAATATTTGGGTTATTTTTGTGAATCTTTGTACTTCATATTATTCACATAATGATGTGACTGCATGGACAGTTAATCTATTAATTAAGTCCATAGTAAATGACGATGTATGCTGTAATATCAAGTTACACAAATCTTTGAAATTATACATTTACACAATATTGGATCTAAAATCGCTGATGGCTGACCTGGAATTTATGACCTGGAATTTTTTTCTTTTAAATAATAAGATGGAAAAACCAATTAAAAAATGCAAACATTTCTTATATTTGTTGTTAATGTTCACCCAAAGTGACAAAGGAATTTGACAAAGGAACTTAAAAAAATCACAGACAATGTCTTGAATAATCAGGCCACTTTCTTCAAACTGTCAGTGCGCCCCAGGGTGGCTGTGGCTACATTGTAGCTTGCCATCACCAGTGTGTGAATGTGTGTGTGAATGGGTGGATGACAGGTTGTGTAAAGCGCTTTGGGGTCCTTAGGGACTAGAAAAGCGCTATACAAATACAGGCCATTTACCATTTACCATTCAAACTGCTGGCATACTTGTGGTTCCTAGGCTATTTAAAAGTAGAATGGGGGTCAAAGCCTTTAGCTTTTAGGCACCTGTTCTGTGGAACTAGCTCCCATTTGGATCCTGGGGACAAACACCATCTGAGTGCTTCTTCTTCACTCACCTTTTTTCAGTTGCTATGTGTTTTTACACCACTCTGCAATTAATCACGAGTT